GCAATGGCAAGTCACTCAATCTCTTCATTCATAAATATCAAAACTCAACTAACCAACCCTTAATTGGCAGAAAACGAAGCCAACATCGACCATGTTCTTGTCAAGGCGCCAAACACTCAACTCTCCGCGAGTGGCTGTACGCTTGAACTTGACAATGACGTTCCATGGGACGAACCGCTCGTTCTTATCTTCAACGAGATCTACGAAGCTCCGATGCAGCCTTTCCCATCCAACACCGAGATCGGCAGCAGAAACGGCGCCATCATATCGTACAAGTGTGCCGAGCACGACGAAGGCTCCGTGATTACGAGCGAGACACGTAGCGGCCGAGCCCGTAAGTCTGGATTCTTCTTCCGGCCCGGCGCGACTTTCCAGGTCTATGTGCACCTAGACGGGGATCGGACTCACGACAGTTCGAGGGGCGCTTCGCACGCTCTGGGTGAGAAGGTCGCTGAAGGGACGATCACGTTGGGAGACAATGTGTACGTGGACAGCGAGGCGACGAATTGGGATCCGTTCAAGGAGGTTGAGAGAATCAACGAGTGGCGTTATGAGTTTGATCAGATTGGTAAGGAGCTTGAGTGAGACTGGTCTCACGTTTCTTATGTCAAATGCAATCAGAGCCGCGGCTCTGAGGTAATTGGTTTAAAAATTGAATCGGATGGGACGAAGGCATTTATTCTTCACCAAATGAGATAGTGCAGAGTCGAGTGTGCAATTTAGTTTGTTAGTATCTAAACAGATGTTCATCATCAGTCAGCCTGAGTTCTTGGAAGCTCTGCTCAATATGCCCTACATCACACCATGGCAGCACAAAACATCTACTTTTACCATCATTGGATATCTCGGGCTAGGAATGTGTAAAGAGATTTGATTTTATTACTCATTGTTCTTCATTCACGCTGTAAACACAGGTTGTATCCATTTCCAATAACAAAAGAAACCGTAGATTCCGTCATCCGTTACATGGCATCTTGAATCTTCAAGACCTTCTCCAGATGAGCCATACTGAGTGGCTCCTTCTTCTGCCAGGCGAGCAAATTGGCCATCTTGAGAATATTCTTGATCTCTCTGCCGTTGATATCCAGCTTTCCAAGTGTTCTGATATCCTCATCTGTAACTTGGTGGCTCTTGTCCTCTTGGATGAGCTTGTCCTGCCCAACGGATCGATCCAAGAAAGTACGCCACACCCTTTCGCGAGCTGTGGCATCAAGGTTAGGATACTGGAGCGTAAGATGAATACGGCTCTTGAATGCGGTGTCAATTGTCTGAACTCTGTTCGTTGTCATGAACAGAATTCCCTCGTAGTACTCCAGCATCCGCAGGAAGACGGACACAATGGAGTTTCGCTGGACATCATGCGAGCTTCGAGCCTCAAGATACACGTCACACTCATCCAGGAGCAGGACGGCATTCCACGCAGACACCATGCTGAGGATCTTCTTGAGGTTCCACTCCATCTGCCATGAGGACTGGCCAAGATCATTGGCGCTCATCGAGTAGAGAGGAACGCGCATCTCCTCAGCGACAGTCTCGGCCGTCAGCGTCTTGCCAATTCCCGGACCACCGGCGAGCAGCATGACGATGCCGCGACCCTTTCCGGACACGACATCGTCAAACTTGGATTTAAACTGCGTCTGGCTCTGCGCGAACGCGAGAATGAGATCCTTCTTATCCTGGTTCAGAACCAGAGACTCGAAGGCATTCTCGGCGAATTTGATCTCGGAGATATCGTGGATGAAAAATTCCATCCACCGACGGTTCTTGAGCGAGTATCCACGGATCATGGGGGATGTGAGAATGAGTTTGTCGTCGGAGAGAGTGGGCTTTTGCTTCTTCTTAGACTCCGTCTTGTCATTAAAGTCAGCACCGACATCCGAGTAACTGCCCTCTGACTCGTCCTCATCATCGTCGCTTTCATCCTCGTTGTTCTCATCATCGTCACCATCCTCACTTTCGTCATCAGAACCATTGTTTCTGTTGCAACAACCATCATTACCAAGGGCTTTGGATGTCGTGAAGGATAGATCAGGCACTTGGTTGGCCCAGTTGACAGCATCGACAACGATCCGAGAGTCTACAACCTCTTGGCGGATCTTCTGGGTGTCAGAGTCCCACCACAGGGCCATTCCCTTATAGAACTTGTAGTTGTATCCAGCCAGGCTCTCAAAAACTTTGCCGCGGGCATAGAGAGACGCGGTGGCCTGCTCAAGCTGCGGGTGCATCTCCAAGGGGAAACAGCTCATATCAGTGAGAGGGACAGAGCCTATATACTCTTGAATCTTCTGCACCGCGTTGGTCCAGCCTAAAGTCTTCCCGTCCCAGTCAATGTGCTTGCAGTGGAGACCATAGAATCTGCCGCAGCTGTTCTCTCCATATTCACCGCGGGTGAACTTGAACGCAGCAGGCTGTCCGTTCTTGGATCCCCAGATCAGGCATCCAGGCTTGAAGAGGGTCCAGACATGAGCCCAGTCGACGGCCTTGGTCTTGATGAAATCTTCTCGGGCTTGCAGTGTTTCCTTGAGCTCCTCCTCGAGGATGTCTCGGAGGAGTGTCAGGTGTTCTTTTGCTAGCTCACCCTTGGCATGTTCAGTGGCCGCAACGAACTCGTCCCAGCAGTGGACAAATGGTGCGAAGGGGGCATGGAGAATCAAACGGGACACATCGATGACGATTCCGGGATAATCCTTGAACAGCTTTCCCAGTTCGGTCTTGAGATGAGGTGATTGAATAATGATGCTATCCACGATGAGGGGCTTGCTAGAGTCGGCCTCCTTCGGAGCGACTGATTGATCAGACGTGTTAGCGACAAAATTGTGAAATAGTTCAGGGGAATGGCTGCTACTACATACGCTTTCGCACGATGACGGCAAACTTCTTTGTCTCATCGTTCTCGGCGGCTTCCTCAATATGGGTAGGCATGGTAGCCGACCATGATCTTTTGCCATCCTTGTCGTACTTGGCAAAGAGGTTGTGGCCTGCTGTTACTGAGCCCACAGGCAGAACTTCCTTCTCCTTGCTCTTCTCATCGTCGCCTTCCGTCTCAGAGGCGGGCTTGCTCTCCTCCTGGGCGTCAGTCGTCTTATCCGCAGCAGGTGTCGCTTCAGGGCTGGAATCAGTGACCTGCGAAGGGGTCACAACATCCTTTGGTTCGCCCTTGCTGGGCGATTGACTATCAGCCGTCATCTTGCGTGATTCTAGGCCAAGGAAGAAAATATGTCCGTAAGGCGCATTCGTGGGCGTTTAAATGGAGATGAATAATAGCCAGGACAAAACCTCCCTCCCTAGTTGACTTGATCGTTGCAAAGATAAAACATGGAGAGCTGCCATCCACCTCTTCTTATAGATAAGGAAGCTAGAGGGATTTCTTGCCACGCCCTTCACGGCATGCTTTGTGGCCCCCAAGCTGCAGCCTAATCCCAAGTGCAAGGCAACCAGCATCAGAATCTTACATGCCGGTGCATTGTTCTACAGGAAACCGCTGGCGCTACCGTCGATCTTGGGCTGAAACAGGGCCTAACTGTGCGAGTAGACAAGGGGTGAGTAATCGTTAGTAAGTTGTTCCCTCTCCTCATTCAGTTTAGCTGGTTGCCTATCGGACGTCCTCGCAGTTAGCTATTGGCTGCTGGCTAGGCAGACACCAGACTACAGCATCCGGCAGATAAAAGGTGCCTTATTGGTAGTAAATCAGTGATCGTTGCATTGTGGCTAGAGAGGATCCCTGTAGGCGGCGAGGCGCATGAGTTTCACAGCCCGCACCAGTTTGCGAGCACTGTGACCCCAGGCGAGTGACTCACCGGCCGGAGTGATGGACAGTCTGCGGAACACCAGGATGGCACTGCGCCTTGTCCAATTAGACAAGGGGTAGTGGGACTGGTAAGCAGATATCATGAATCAGCCAAACCCTCCACTCGCTGATGGATATACCCTGGTGCTCTCCATTCAGACTTCTGATTTGTAGAATAATTATAATAATTATCCGAGACTGACCGGATCAAATCCCGAGTCCCACGAGGATGCTCCAATGGACTCAGTGGTAAGCCCATAGTTGAATTTGCCACTTGCGTGATGTGGTCTTCGAGCGTAATATTGCAATAGACGTCAATCAGTCGATCGCTAAGGAAGATGTGAAACCGTTCTCAACTCGTACCAACAATGATATTTCTACCACGTGAAAAATACTAGTTTCATGAGAATATTTCATGGGCTCTTGATACTTGGCTGAGGCTTTCCGTCTGAACAGCCACCCCTCACAAGACACATTTCATTAGGTGCTCTAGGGTAGCGACAACGAGTGGCTTATCAAGTGGTGATGCCCCAGGCTCATCAAATATTATAGACAAGGTTAGCATCAGCCACCCAATCCAATTTCAAATCAATACCCTGTTCCGTATCCGGCATCTTAAAGACCCAATTTCGGTACCATCAATTCCTTGCTGGAGGCCGTCAATGTAGACTGTGACTCTAAATTTATGCTGGGGAACAAGACAGCCTTAATAAAAAGGCTTCTTGGCCCCTTGAAACACAGTGAAAGGCCATTGTGGTAAGTAATTGCTAAAAAAGACGCCTCATTTACACTGGTCATGCAGCGGCTTTGAGAGTTTGAGCATCTTTGGCTCACACATGTAAAAGACAGCAATGGAAGATGCTAGAACTAACATCTCAACACAATGCTGGTCTTGCAGCTTACAGAGAATCATACCTTGAAGCCACATGCTCTACTATCGTATCAGGAGCTGGCCACTTGGTTACAGCCCATTGCCTTCATCATAACAAATGGCTCCTTCCTGGTGGATACCAAAGAGATGCAAAGCGGCCCATCACTCCCTTCAAGTTTATCTGACAACTATGCACGAGAGTCTACTCAACCGCCGAAACTGCACAATCCTGTATATATCATCTAGCTGCTTTGATTGAAATGTCCCTTGCGTATCAAGTGTCGTGGTATTTCTAAATTGTTTGAAACAGATTCAAGTAAAGCTACGCTAAGATATATGATCTCACTCATCCTCTCCTGTAGCAACATCTCCAAGATGCTCCTTTACCAACTGAATAATCGTCTTATTCCCGTTAGTGATCGCCAAATCCAACATCTTGCTATCTTTGGCCCCATTCCCAACGTCCGCCCCGTGCTGTAGAAGCAGTTTCACCGTTCTTGGGTTGTCGCTCTCAATGGCCAACTCCAGAGCTGTTGTTGATCTGCTAAGAAACGTGTCTTTGTTAGCATCGGCACCGTGCTCCAGAAATAGCTGTACAATGCTGTCGGAACCATGCGCCACTGCCAACCACAGGGGCAGGCCCTCATAACGATGGTCTATGTTGACATCGGCTCCAAATCGGAGCAACAAGCTCACCAACTCTTCATTGCCCAATTTCGTTGCTATATGCAATGCCGTAGCATCATAGTGGTTCACGGAGTTCACATTGATGCCCCGCTCGAGCAGCAGTTTTGAGGTTGACACGTCTTTCATAGAGACAGATCTGTGCAGGGCAGTCTTTGAATTCCTGTGTAGATGGATGATTTTGGGATCTTGGTCGAGCAGCAGTCGAACCAGGGCCGTGTTGGTAGAATAAACAGCACTGTCCAGTGCCTCCAAAGTCACCGAGACGCCTCTGCTCAGAAGTAACCGGATCATGGCATCATTCTTCTTCTCTACGGCCGACTCCAGCGCCGAAGACGATGGGCTGGTACCTTTGCCAACAAGCAGAAGAATGATCGCCTCGTCCTCTGACCGTATAGCCTGTGTTATCGCCTCTGGGGTTATGATGGCACCGTTCTCAAGCAGCAGCTGGACCAGGTCCAAGCGTCCCTTGGAGATGGCTCTTGGGAGCACATGTGGCGTTGTCCTGCCGCCATTGTCCAGGAGTAGTTGAAGCAGGTCCTTGTCGCCATGCGCAGCAGCTTCCTCTACAGCTTCGGGTATTATTTCAAGTTTGCGTCCAAGAATGAAATGGACAACAGCCATATTTTTCTCTGCAATGGCGTTGACCAAAGTGTTTGGTGTGACAGTGGCCCCCTTTTCGAGAAGCAACCAGAAGATGGCGTCTTGGCCGTTTTCAACAGCGCTCTCCAACGCTTCAGATGTTACTTCGGCACCCTCACCAAGGAGCAGCCGCGCTATGCTTTCATGGCCATATGTAGCGGCTCTTTCCAGTGCTCGAGGTGTTGGTTTGGCACCTCTATCTAGCAACAAACGGACTATGCCTTCATTCGTGTGTTCGGATATCATGCTCAGTGTATCTGGGCCTGCAGCAGCACCTTTCTCAAGAAACAATCTGACAATGGCTTCTTGGCCCAAAGAAACAGCGTAGCCCAGCGTGTCTTCTGTGGGAGTAGCCCCCTTCTCAATAAGGAGTCGCACGGTGGGCTCGTGCTCTGACTGAACAGCGCATGCCAAAGTTTGTGGTGTAATCTCCACGTCTCTCTCGAGTAGGAGATGGATGACCGGCTCGTTTGGACCTTTGACGGCAGCTTCAAGTGTGTGCGCCGTCGGTTCTGCACCATGATCCAGCATCGACTGTACTAATACTTTGCTGCCACAAAACGCAACGGAATCTAGGGCGTGCCAAAACCTTGTTGATTGTGCGTTCGCACCATGCTCAAGCAAAAGCCGGATCATAGCTTCGTGCACGGCTGGTTTAGCTGTATCATTGAATAGACCGTCTGCGGCGTGGTAAAGCGGCGTACCGAAACGATCGGCGTTGATGTCTGCTCCGTTGGCGAGCAGCAATTTGACGACTGCTTCGTGGCCGTGCCTTGCTGCATGATGAAGTGCACCATTATCTTTGGACCTTAGCCTCGACTTTTTTGGCACCATTCGAGCAATATAGGGTCTCTTTTCGAGCAACAGTCTCACGATTGTTTCGTGTCCCATTTCTGAAGCCGCATTCAAGGCTCCATATGTGACTGGGGCATCTGCATTCAGCAGCCGTTGCACAAGAGGCTGATCTCCACGTTTGCAGGCTCTTTCTAGTGTCATTTTGTTACTGCCTGAGCCAGCCTTGCTCTTTGATGGTGAGACTTGGGCGTCTGACTTTCGCACAAGGACTGTCATGTCTGCGCCTTTGTCGACTAAAAAGTTTATCATTGCCGTCTCTCTGTTTTCCATCGCCACCAGGAGTGGTGTTTGCCTCTGATGGTCTTCGGAATTTATCATGGCCCCATTCTGGAGGAGTACTTCCACCAAAGGCCGGCGCCCATTACCAGCCGCACGATGGAGAGCGGTCCTGCCATTCGAATCAGTCGCAAAGTTGAGATCGGCGCAGTGCTTCAGGACCAGACTCCCCGCCGCCACAATATCCGACTCCTTCTCAACCAGCCGTCGAGCCACTCTTGGGTCTCTATTGCCGGCCACTCGGTGCAGAACCGTGTCTCCGCCGTTGTCACTCGCCGTGATATCAGCCCCTCTGTTGATCAGCAGCTGTAGCACGGGGGCGTGTGCGTACAAAGCCGCTGCGTGAAGTGCTGTGCGTCCGTTATGGTCTTTCGCATCTATACTGGCTCCATGGTCCAGGAGTATTCTGGTCGGTCCCTCTTGACCTCCCTCAGCAGCCAAATGCAAGGCGGTGATCCCATCATGATCCGAGGCAGACACATCGGCAGTCTCCTGGATAAGTCGCAACGCCACAGGTTCATTGTTTTTGGTAGTCGCCCACATCAAAGGCGTTCTCTTCAATTTATCGGAGAGGTTGATATCAATGCCGGGGTGAGCGAGCAACAGTTCCATTACTTCTTCATGACCTGCCGCGGCTACCCAAGATAGAGGCGTCCTCCCCTCTTTATCTGTTGTATTAACATCTACATCCACTCGCAAAAGAAGAATCTGGACAACTCTTTTGTGCCCTCTTGCCGCAGCCAAAGACAATGGTGTTCGTCCACGGTCATCCTTGCGGTCACTATCACGATTAGCCACGACACAGAGCTGTAATAACTGACGAAGCAGCACGCTGAGTGGAACAATTATAACCCAATTCTGTATAACCAAGTATAAAAGAAACTTGTAGAGCAAGGAGGCCCCCCAAGTCTGAGCCACGACTGCACTGACAAGGTCATGTCGGGCTGTCGCGTGTAGAAGCGTGGTGCAAGGCACGGGCCAGTTCTTGTGTGCTTTTGTCGAGGCTCGGACCCATGAACCAACAATGTCTTCAGAGGGCCATCGGAATGACGATAGAATGTACTCTTGCGACATGTGCATCCCTTCCGCCTTTTCCGCATGCACAATCCAGGATGTGACAGAATAGTCAAGGAAAGGAAACTTTTGCCAGGGCTTATTGCTCTCGGAACTGACGATTTCATCCATTGCAAGATAACGGATACAAGCTTGGGACAAGCATATGTTGGTCTGGCCACGCAAAACAAAATTGTTGTCAAGCACGAGATCCAACGTTTGGAACCCACGATCGATGAGAAATTCCTTGGCGGATTGGTGGATCAGCTGTATCACCTGGGTTCCGTGATGCTCACGCAACTCTGCCAACCCTCCAGAGAGGCTTCTTAGTCTCTTGATCATCTGCTTCTCCGTTCGGATAGAATCCGACAAGCGAAGACACTGTTCCAGAGAAGAGCACTGACCATTCACACTGACATTCATCGCCCATTGGAGCTCTGCAACTGAAAGCGGTTTGCGCGTAAAGCATAGCCACTGGAACAGTCGCAAACTCCACACCTTTTCATGCGGCTCCGCGGCCAGTTTTTGAACGGCATCTTCAAAGATGTCCGCCAACCGTGAAGGCGTTTTCCGAAGTGATTGCAGAAGTTGCTCAGGATTCGACCCTTTTCTTTGTTGCAACACCATATTGGGTAATATGAGCTTAGCCCACAGAAAGATTCCAGAGGATCGTTCTACCATTTCATCTTCCAGAGCCCTGGAATCTTGGTCGTCCTCAATCGGTTCGAGATTACTCCGTATGTACGTCCTGATGTCTGCATCGTTCTTCGACTCGACGGAAATCTCTGTTCCTTGCTGCCATCTGACTAGAGGAAAGTGCCGGCACGTGATGCAGATACTCAACCGCAATAGACTGGAAGCCGGTTGAGACCGGATATTCTTGAAGAAGGCCTCGATGGAGATGATGCCATCTTGACTGCATTCGTCTAGGGCATCTACCATTATTTGAACGGCATGTGTTTCCCGCGCCTTGTTGATGCAGCTTTGAAGCAAGCGCTCCAGCTCATTGACATGCCAGTTCCACTCTTCCCCGTCGTCGATCGAGCGCCCCGAGCTCACTTGGAAGTTCTGGACGACCCCCACCAGCTGATTCCACAGCTGGTCCCGGTATCGTACAATTAGTTGATGGAGAAGGTTTCGATAAAAGTCGAGAGGCGTCGTCTGTGACCCGGATTCATTGCTGTGGAAGAAGAAGGACAAGACGATGACGTTCTGTGACTCATAGTCGACCATCGAGGCATATCTGAGTAATGTTGATTTGCCGGAGCCTGGTTTCCCTGTTATCCAGAGCAGACCACTGTCTTGTTCTTGCCATTCCTTGTACTGGTCATCTTGCAGAAGCCAAGTGCACGTTCCTGCCGCTGCCCCTGCAATAAATTCCTTGCCGTCACTGATTCCCGAAAATGGTAGAATAGGGGCACGGGAATCTGTGAATCATAGTCAGTTTAAGCTTATAACTGGGTAAAATTTCGACATAATGGGAAATGTACCGGCAGCATCAGGAGCGTAGCGGGCATCTTCCACCTCATGGGCGTGTACAATAGAGAGAAGAACTTTCGCAAAAGCTGCGGCTGTAGCTGCGGCATATGGCTGCCAAATATCATTCTTGTGATAATCTGCGTAGTCGGAGATGCCTCTGATGACGAGGCAGGGAAAACTGTTCATCAGGCCAGCTGCTTCCATCTCAAAGCACAGCACATTTCCGAGCTCTTGTCTCAGTCGATCTCTCGTTGCAGCATCTTTTATGACCTGGTTCCCAGATGCAATGAGGCCAAAGTGGACGACTGGATCCTGATCGCCTCGATCAGGCAGTTCAGTCGTTGCCTCATTTGCACCTGGGTGAGCGAATCTTGGATTCCTGGCTGCCATTGACGTAAGGAGCTCATCGAGTTGGCTTTTATTGGTCCAACGCCTTGCCTTGAGCGCATTGAGGGCCGTTAGTAACACTTCTGGTGGAGAGTTCAACCAGCCTGTCCGCTCAAAGCAAACACCCAGCTCTCGTCCTCGATCGTATTGGATAACGCCCCCAAGCTGGCCTTTGGGCTCGCTGACGACTATGTCACCGAGCCGAATATCATGTCCTTCTTGGGGGATCCCACCGCCAATCCCAACCATGAGGCCGAACTTTATCCCGGTAAAGCTGGTCAGCATTTGCTGTGCTGTGGAGGCTGCTGGCGCGATACCATAATTTCCAGCCGGAAGACAGGCAATCACCACGTTGTGATTTTTGATCTTGCCCAGAGTGTAAGAGTTGTGATCATTGGGGTGCAACTCTCGAGGGCCTTGGTGGACTTCATCTAACATGGCCGTCGCCGCAGCCATTTCTACCGCCAACGCACAGATCCAGCCCACAGTATACATGCGATTTGGCAAGGAGGGTGAATCCATGATGCAGATTCGGGTGCCCAGAGGCCAAACCAACTTGAGGCGGTCAAACAAATAAGACGATTTTCGATGAATTCCAGGGCATCATATTCTTCGAGAGCGCGTCTCTGCTGTCATGGATAGTGCGGTGATTACCTGCAAGTCAGCCTTTCCATAACGCACAAATAAAACCGAAACTTGCAAAGATCACGTGATATGACTAGATCTTCAGCTCTCAGTGGTTACATTAATCGATCTCTTTAGGCAGGTATTTCAATAATTATTAATAAATATGTTATCGGAATAAAAGCTTATGTTATCGGAATAAAAGCTTATGTTATCGGAATAAAAGCTTATGTAAAAGGTCTGGTATTTTGACGAATTCACTACAGTTGCCATATTGTACAACATATATACAAGCATTTATCTGACCTATGAGATCTTTTATTCTTAGCATTATCTAACAAGTTCCCGCAATTGAATTCTAAAGCCGATAGTTATTCAAACTGAACGATATGATGGTTGAGACAGTTTGATTTCTTAACCTGTAAACCAAAGGGGGCGCTAATTTTAAGCTCGGTGGCACAACTTTACTATAATGAACTCTGGCGCGCCAATCTTGACTAAAAAGGCTAAAAACAAGAACCCGATTAATGTTCAACTGTCCATCTATCTGAAACAAGGATACATCGTCCTCCATACTTGAAAGTATGCATGTAGCCATGAGGGATGGTGCAAACCTCTAGCGGCTGAGCTGATGAAAACTCCTTGTGCTCTAAAAGAAGAAGAGAGCCTCTCCTTGCGTATTAAAAATAGGCACAAGGGCCAAGATCCACAGCCCAGGCCGTCGGGATCGCATTGAGCTGCCTTCATATTCAGGCCGTCCACCCGCCGGCTGCCGATCCCCAGAACTTTCTCATCTCGTCGACAAGGTCTGTCGGGTTGATGGTAGCTGGAAAGTGGCCGCCTAGAGTGGTCAGGGGTTTGCGAGAAAAGTAGGCTATGTTCGTGGCCTGTCTCTCAAGCCACTCGCGGGGGACACCGTAACCCACGTCAGGGAAGTACTGGAGTACGCCGACGGGAATCGACACGTCCTTCCAAGCAAAGTCGAGTGTACCTTCCTGTGCTGGTGTTAGTCTAAGATCAATTTGAATGGTATTTCTGTGGTGGGTGGACTTGCCCTCTTCATTTCCGCATACGTCCGCACGCTACCATAAGGCCCGGGGATGTAGAGCATCATGGACCAGGTGATGAGCTCCTCCAGTCCCCAGTCGTATCCAGGAGAGAAGCCCTTCGTTCCCCAGTATAGCCACCCCAGGTTGCCTATCGGGCTATCGCTGAGGAGAGTGCCAAGCTGGAGGGGAAAGGTAGACTCGACGCCCCAGAACGCCAGGACGGTGGGCCACACTCCCTGGAAGAATTGGATGAATGAGCTTTCTTCGGCCGTCGTCTCGTTCCTCGAGTAGCGGAGGAGATCCGCATCGGTGGGGGCCTCACCCCAGAGATTGCTTAGGATGCTGACGGTCGAGGCTGGGAACATGGCGGCCATGTAACGGATGGTGATGGCGCCAAAGTCGCCGCCCTGCGCGACATAGCGATCATATCCAAGCTGCTTCATCAGCTCGTTGAAGGCAGCGCCGACCTCGATGAGGCCGAGTCCGGGCTCGGTAGGGGCCGGCGAGAAGCCGAACCCTGGGATGCTTGGAGCGACGACGTGGAATGCGGGCGTATCATCGTCGGGCGGTGTAGTGAGGAGATTAATAATCTTGCGCACTTCGAGGAAAGAGCCCGGGTAGCCGTGAATAAAGAGGAGAGGAATCGCATCCGGACGCTCGGAGCGATGATGCACAAAGTGAAGCGGGATGGGCAAGGTGTAGTTGTACGACGACGAATCAAGCGGGCCGACAGTCGTTGTAAAGTGGCTGAAGTTGGAGTTGAGCTGCTGCTGCACGGAGTCCCAGTCGTAATCGTTGAGCCAGTAATCACGGAATTGCGTGAGGTTCTCGTTTGCTAGTCCCTCGACAAATTGGGGGCCGTCAATTTCGATGGGAAATCGGGTCAAGGACACTTTGAGCTTGGTCTCGGCAATGAAGTTGGGATTGACGTCGACAGTCATTGGCTGGGGAGATGATCCAAATGTGGCTTTGAAGTTGGTGGCTGGGTAGCTGCTGTTGGGGCTCTGCACCGCCACTGCGGCGGCAATGAGCTGCCCAACGCTGAAAACCTTTGATAACATAAGCATCTTTCTATCACGTGACTCAAGAACAGATGATGTCGAATATCGATGCAAGCGAAATGGATTGCATCTGAAGATACACAGCTATATATATATTCTATCAAGCCTTTCATATTAGTTTCTTTCTTTGTAATTGCTGGCGCGATTTCTAATCCAAGATGATGCAGATATTCAAGTTGTTTGCTCTGTAGTACGAAACATTCATTGCCCAATCCCAAACCGGTAGTTGTAAAATCTTGGCAGTGAAGATACACAGCTGTATATATTATCTATTAATCCTTTCTTACCAGGTTCTTGCTATGTAACTGCTAACACGATTGCTAATCAAAGATGATGCCGGCATTTGAGTTGTTTCCTCTCGGTATAAGACATTCATTGCCGAATCCTAGCATGTCCCAAACCGGTAGTTGTAAAGTCTTGGCAGTGAGAAGCTTTGATCCTCTGTCTCCGTGCATCCAATGGTAAAACGCCGTTGAACTCCACCCGCTCCCGGATCACTAATTCCCATCTTCTCCATCTGACATACCTACTCATGTTGACGGTGACGCTGCCAGATCATCTACCTGGCACAATGAAGCCAGCGTTCTCTCCCGCAAGCCCACGCCCACCAAGTTTTCAAAAATGCCGCGCGAGTTCCAATTCGTTGCCGTCCTGCGCCCGACGGAGCCCGTCCCCTCCGAAACACGAAAGCTAACTCATTCGCACGCCCGGCGCGAGACACACGCCATGAAAAAACGTCTACGGATTCAGAGGTGTCGGGCAAAGGCCACGCAAGCTCATGCAGAAAATGCCGTGGCAGTCTTTGACCCGCCCTTTCTAGGTCTGCCTCGTAGCATAGTGAGCTCTCGCAAAGATATCTTCTCAGTCCTGCCCAGACCATTGTCTCATCAGGAACACTTTCTCCTTGATCACTGTACGCCCCGCTACTAGAATCTCTCTAGAGCAGTCTTCTCAAAGCACCCCTACCTGCATCCCCCTCTTCTAATTCCGGCAACAGATGTCCGAATCGTCGTGCCGCATGCCACGGCGACATGTCATGATTTGTTTAGCGCCCCAGGTGACCACCAGGAGCGGGTCTTCCGGGAATGGGTAGGTCTCGCTGTGACTGACCAGGACCTCCTCGACACCGCTGTTCTCCTCAGGGCCGGCCGGCATATTCTGGAGACCAGACCAGATGACACAGCCTTGTCGCGAATGGTACTCCTCTACAAGCAGAGAGGTCTGCAGAGACTGCGTCGGTTACTTAGCGGCATGTCGTTGCGAGCAAATGCGTTGATTATAGCCATGGCCCTTTCCTTAGCGATGGATGAGGTAAGGACCGACAAGCCCAGTTATAACTCAGTTGTTCGTTGCTAATAATATCTGCGTTCAAGGATGCGTTTGGGGAGATGGGAGTAGCCCGGATGCATGCAGAAGGTGTATTTAATATGGTCGACCTCGGCGGCGGCCCGGGTTCTATCGGTCTCACGGGCTTGCTTCAAACAATGTACGAGGCATGGCAACAAGTATTCAGAGTTGGAAGATACCTAGCTTCATGTTCACAGACTTGAATAGAATAAGCAGCCGGATAGTCAAGACAGGTTTCAATTACCGACATATTCTACATACCATATACTTATTTCCCGTAGTGGTATTACAATACCTCGTTTGCTCCGATATAATAATCCTGTCTTAAGTGAAATTCTTTTTCAAAATACTTAAAAGTCCTCACGGCTTGTTAGCCTCTGTAAATAAAACTGTCTTCCTTAATTAAATTAATTCATATTAAATCTGCGATAAAGCTATACGCTATCAATCACAGCTATAATTACTAATAAATATACATATTCATCTGATTTATTCACTACTCTCACCCTCATTTCCCTACCTACTACACAGTTCATTACAAGTGTCCCGTTGCTACCTAGTCCCACATTAATTCTTGAGTCACCTTCTCTTTACGTAGAGAGCCGCATTGCACGCTTTTCACCTTATCTGAAGTTTAAATTATTTCAACTCAGCTAGAAATGACGCTCATCCCTATATGTAGGCTATTTAATTGAGATATCTTTAGACTGAGAGGGGAGTCTCCTTAATTCTATTAACGAAGCTACACTAATAATAGTGGCAAAATAGCAGCATTATGATGAAGAGGCCGAGATATATAAGATTCGAGGTGGCTCATCGTAATCGATGGGTCGCTAAGACCAATAATCCCGCAGTTGAATGTGGATTATGTTGCTTTCGATTGGTCGAGTACATTGAGCTTGGTAGTATTGTTTGGGGTCCCCTTGTTCTCCTACCCTGTTCTCAGTATCAAGCTTTACAGGCCGCGTGGCAGAGTGGAGGGGTAGCCCTCTACGACGATATAATACTCCGTAATATTGTTGATAGGGTTGCATATGCGAATTGACGCAACCCTAACAAGGAATGGAAGGACCGGATCTAGTGGTTGAGCCGACTGAGATCTGATGTGCTACCGAGAGTGTTTTTACAATTATCACCTTTCTGAAGTTGTTATACATATCAATCGTTAGTTGAAGCTGAACCACAAGAATACATTGATAGAGGTCAAAGAATAAGACAAAATAAAACCCTAGTTCAGTGACTGGGACCGGGCAGGATTTCTTCCTTGCTTGAGAGATGTACCAGATCAATGGGGGTCACCTATGATAGAGCGGTAAGAGTTGATTCCGAACTCCAGATGTAGAAGGGATCGACAGGAAAGCCCAAAGGAAATGGAACTTTTTGTTATTTTGCAACCATACCGTAACTATATACACGGAATGTAGTATCTCATCAACACAAACACGACTGTTCAATCACACCTAACACTTAAGGCGAATGTCCAACTCGATAGGTGTTGATATATGGACCCGCTATCTAATTCACGAGGCAATGCTTAGAAATTATTGATAAGCCAAGACCAAAAGTAGACATGTCAACGATATCAAGATATAAGAAGACCTTAGACATCTCCTGTGTCTGTCAATCCTCAACAATCCCTTCGTTCTTCCAAGACGAATTTCTTATTACTGACAATATGGGCTCTTCTCTGTCCATTTGGCTTCTACTTTTTTCAGCCACTCTTGTTGCCGGACATGAGTGGAATACGACATGCACAACACGAACGCAGCGCCCTGCTTGGTGAGAAGCTTCATTCCGTTTCCCTCCAGTGAAGCATCCTTTCTGATGATATGATAGGAACGCATTGACCGACGAGGAAAAGATAGCATACCTTGAAGCCGAAAAATGCTTACAGGCAAGACCAGCACAGGTTGGTACGGTGGGTGCCGAAAATAGATGGGACGAACTTCATTGGTCCCACATCTCGCAGACCAGCTACATTCACGGCGTGGTACGTCACGACTCTACTCTGTTACAAATAAACATCTTGGATCTTTGAATGCTAAGGTTAAGCACACTTACGTAAAGGGTGGCTTTCTTCCCTGGCACAGATACTTCGTAAGAGTCCACGAGTATCTTCTGCAGTCAGAGTGTGGCTATGAGGGTGGGCAGCCCTACTGGAACGAAACAGCTGACGCCAGTGACCTGCTTTCCTCCGTGGTCCTTGACCCAGACACCGGCTTTGGAGGTGACGGAAGCTGCATTACTGATGGTCCGTTTGTGGACGTAAGACTGCGCCTCAACGCCAACGGGGCAACTGACCCCTATTGCATCTATCGCTCGCTGAGTTCCCGCGATTTTTCATCTGCAGTCCAAGGGAATGTAGACGCATGCATGGAAACTACATCATACGAGGATGCCCGTAACTGTTTTGAAGGCTCCCCTCATAACGCAGGTCATGGCGGTGTTGGTGGTTTGGTATGTCTTCATTCGTATTCCTTTGTTTTCTAGTAAAACTAAAAGGAGAAAAACTAACATACCTTTCTTAAGATGGTCAATGTGGCATTGAGCCCAGGGGATCCTATTTTCTTCCTTCACCATGCATACATTGATAAGATTTGGTGGGAATGGCAAGAACTAGATCTAGAAGCTCGGCTTACTGACATGAGCGGAACAAATCAGCCTGGAAGTGGTGGTGGCCCAGGAGGTGGCGGTCCAGGAGGTGGTGGCCCCCCTGGTCTGAAACTCCGCGCAGAGACGTTTGATTATGGCGATCCAGGAAACGAAACCACTCTCAGTCACATACTGGGCATGGTGAACATAGTTCCGGATGCGATTATTGCCGAGGTGATGGATCTCCGGGGAGACCTGATTTGCGCGGAATATCTGGATTGAATTTATTGAGCAGTATTTCATAGCCATTGCTTTAATCTACGTACTGCTGTGAAAAGGTGTAGACTCACTGTATTAGTTGAAGAAAGGTAATAAAATTTTCAAAAATGAATTAATGTTTGGTTGCTTACTCTAAATCCATCGACAGCTTTCATTCGAACATAGGAGATTGTCCAAAACATGAAGCCGGAGAATATTAGAGTATAGACACCGGTTGTCTAATTTGCCGCACCCAATACGATAAAAAATTCCAGTGTTTGCGAATCGTTTCGATGCTTATTGTAAGAGCCAAGGTAGTGAAGGTACGGGCTTATTGAATCCCACGATTGAAATGTCACGTGGTAACATAAAGATTTTCATTTTCTCTGCACGATTGTGGAGGACGAAATACTTGGCATTGTACTCACTCAATTCGAGTTTTTTTATTATTCTGGACGATTTGAACATAGTTCCAAAAAGCATAAAGAACTTACTTGAGATCATGACATTCGTGTATCCGATGCTTCATTCCCCTCGCGGAATCCGGTTGTTAAAACATATGAAGGTCACTGAAGACCAAAAGACGTTGGAGTTTTCACTTGATGCAAAGCGTTGGGAGGTCCCTGAAATCGAGTTTGAACAAAACCGCCCTAAACTGTCCCAGAAAAGCAATCGAATGGCATTCTACGCCCTGTCGTATGTATGGGCACCTCGCCAGATAAGGAGGTCATCATATGCAACAGTGTGCCTGTAGAGATCACTAGAAACCTCTACGATGCTCTCTCCCAGCTCACTTTACAGATGCCAGGTATTGAGCTGTGGACCGATAGCCTGTGCATCAATCAGAATGATCCCGTGGAGAAGCCAGCCCAGGTGGCCATGATGGGAGACTTGTACGCGTGTGCAACAGAGGTGGTCTGCTGGCTGGGCATAGCCACGCTTTCAGATCCGTTCTGTGGCTACAAAGCCGCTATTGATACCTTTCAAGGGATAAGGTCGGGACATCCACTCGAGGAGGAATACCCCGGCTGTGCTAGTTGCGCAGGATCAGTATTTAGATTGGGACTTTGCAAGGATCGCACTCACCAAGAGATTTCTGATCGATGCGACGGGCTTCAGGAACTGATCTCGGCCATGGAGTCTAGTCAGTGGTTTGAGAGAGTATGGACGTTTCAAGAGTTCATCTTGGCTCCAAAAGTCACAGTCCATTTCGGCTCATACGCCATGCCTTGGCGGTATTTTGCCCTTGCATCTTATGAGATGAATCGGAGTCACTACAAGTTCAGTTCTTCTTTCGGGATGAGCATGGGGGTTTCCGAGATTCGTAAACTGAACGAGTTTCACAATAGGTTCTGGAACGAACGGGGAATCTCACTAGCAGAGGCAATTGAACAGGTGCGAATCCGCAACGCGACAGTGCATCGTGACAAATTGTATGCCGTCATGGGGTTATCATCGAGAACTAGGTCATCTAGCATCAAAGTGGACTACTCAATTTCGGCTTCGCAGCTCTATGCCATGTTCACCCGTTTCTCAGTCCTGGAGGACGCCAATCCCGGTGTCCTGTTGAGCATTACACCCGGCCGTGCAGGACAGCCACATGATCCTGCTTATCCAAAGCTTCCTAGATGTCCTAATTTGCCTGTTTGGGCTGTAGATTGGTCGATAGACCGGCTAGCGACTTCAAGCTACCATATCAACGTGGGAACTCTGCCTAGCCTCGCGTCTGTCGGAGAGTCCCTGAATATATACTCTATCGTCATTGGATATCTTCCTGCAGACGATTACGATTTCCTCAAGAGAACAAACGGGATCGACTTGCCAAACTTTAGGCGACTTCCGGATTGTATAAGTGGCCACAATAGACTTAGGGACGGCCTGACCGGACCGCAATTCAAAGTGAACCAATGCCAGTGCGCACCTCCGGGCTACTTGATTGCTGATATCGAGCAGCCCGAAAGGTTGACACAAACTTATATAGAGCCTGCTAGTCTATTGGAACGGTTCAATTCACACCGGCTGGGCGAGTGTTCTTGTCATGGTGTGAATACACTGGCTGGCGACACATTGCGGTGGGTCTGTCTCCTTGCAAATCCCCAAGGATGGATGGCTGCCTCTGTCTTTGTGATAGAGTTGCATTGGAAGAAGTCGAGTCTTCTTGGTGAGTATAAATGGAATGTGTCTTGGAGCGATGAGTATCGGTCCACAAAGCAAGATGTCGAGGGTAATGTTTTGTATAAATATCCGTGCATCCTCTCGCCCGTAGTTTTCTAAATAGTCTGAAAGATCACAATCTGTTTGGTCCGTGAAAGGAAATGGTAGATTACAGCATGAATTTCAGTCCTATTGGTGGGATATGTTCGCAGTGACACAACCTTCATTCTTACCAAGAACCATGCCAGCGAGGCGGCCTTCAAATAGGAGTAAAGCAGGATTTTAAGGTTCATGATGGGAGTCACTCCAATGAGAGAGTAATGATGCCGGGCATAAGCCATTGTTAGCGTAGAACCTTATGTACGGCCGGATGTAAGTCTTGTAACTGGGGAAAAGGCTGAATTTTGATGTGTTGGCCGTGTTGTGATACTGGGTGTAGCGTTAATTTGTCGATTTCTTGGTGTTTGGGTATTGCCCCTTTTTTTTCACCAGCCTTGTTCGCCCAATTCATCCGACCGGGTTCTGCCAGTAGGGCTAGGATAAATTGAAACACTGCGCGCCTTCTTCCAAGCTAATTTCTTGAAACTGGATTATATTGTGTATGGATTCTTGTTACTGGAGGACATTTGGGAATTTGGCCTGAAGTGATAGCGAAGTGCTCCGGTAATTGCTAGGCCGCTGTTTCTATTAATACTATAATGGCCTGGAATTGTGGATAAATAAGTTTATGATACGATCGATGGAGTGACAAGAGCATGCTGATATTCTTCTGTAACTGGACGATGATTTTTCAAGAATTCGAACAGCGAAGGTTGCATACTGAGCAACGAACACCGCCTCGGTTCTGTTCGAAAGCTGATCTAAAATGCCGGGTGAAGTTGTTTGCATTTCAACAAGATTTCGAATTTTCGACGCCAGGAGCGGAATAATTGCTGGAGGGAGATTAAAGAGATAAAGATTTCCGCGAAATGGAAGGAGCTAACACAGAAAATGGTGATATTTAGACATGTCAGGCTCATCTCAAGAAGTGAGAAAGAGCAGAACAGCAAATGAGATTTCGAAAGGTGAACTACGAACACATGAACTGTGTATGGATCCATCCCATAGCTTACAGGAATCAAACCAGAAATTGACTTGTAAGGAGCTAAAAAATGGTGGAGAGGACCACTAGTAGATGGGACATTTGGATAGCGATTGGACTTGTCAGACGCCGAAGCAAAGAAGGGATGCTTGTCAAGTGGGTGACACGGGAAATGGCAAACCCAAATGAAACCCCAAATAAACAGGCATATAAAAGCACAAATAAACAACCATAAGCAATAAATCAAAACATAAATATTTTCACTTACCCAGTAAGGAATTAGCACTCTATGACAACATGGTCCACTCGACGGGCCGATCCCTCCTCAGTGTGTCCAACTTCGCGGACAAAGATGCCCACAGAGGGTCAAACGCCAGAAGATGGAGAGCAGCATCTTGGAATGTCCATGCATGAGGGCACTCGCATCGGTGAAGCTGCCAGCATCCCAGAAGCCGAAGATGACGAGCTTGGAGTGCATTTGGCGTGTTTCGATCATTGACTCATCGCCAACGAAGACCCTGCTCGCAGATCTCAGGGGAAAGGCGGCAATCCCAGCAAGACGATCCGCGGGAAGACTTGACGACCTTTACTCTTGAGTATGGGGAGAGAGACTTTTTGCTCTCTTGGGATCGCAGCATGGCAAAGGCCTGGCGCGAATGCTGGCAAGGAACCCGGCGATGTGGTGTCGCAAGGTCATCTCACGCGCGACGGTCGTGTACTCAGGCGAATTCCATATCCGCTAGGAGTTGGAGCCCTACCCGCACGACGCCGTCGAAGAAAGCAGCAGCAGCACCGAAAGGCTCTATCGAGGTCTTCCATAGGAAGTTCCACCGGCCGGGAGAGTTAGAAAAACTTTGACAATGGTGCGAGGGAGGTCTGAGTTAGGTCTGCTAGAAACATAACCATGGAGAACCACATTGGACGTAGATAAATTAAAATAATGAACCTAGTAATAAGCACGATATCAAGCTAAATATCATCCAATGATTTATTATTTTCTTCTTTTTGTGTTTAGTATTATTAATAAGAAAATTAGGCCTCTACCGCATGATGAGTGTGTCGAACTCCGTCCATAGTTGACTGTAGCCAGGGACCATGGCAAATGGTTATAAGAAAGGTGAAGTCAACAAAATTCTGTTTAATTTCTATTCAGTGATCACTTGAGAGATCTAAACAGCCCGTGAGTGCTTTGCAAAGAAGAAGTAGGAAAAAAGCGACCACAACAAGTAATAGTAGGTAACGTACTGAAAATCTTCCCTCCCATCTCCGCCCTCGGCATTTTGAGTTCATGGCAAGTGGAGTCTAAGAATCACGCCAGAGGTTCCATGACATTTAGAAATACCTCACATACCTTAGTATAAATATTGTCTTCCCCATGTCCACAGCCAACGTATCTTCGGATTTTTCGAGCCTTTCAATTGGGACTTAGTGCTAAAAACACTGCAAAAAGGTATCCTGGTGGGAAGCTTTCTCCTTATTTCTCTAGAGAGGGAAATGCTACCAAGGTCAACCCCAGCGACAAGTCTGAGCAGTTACTGCGGGGTCTTGGCCAACCGGGATGGGATATGTTCTCTGCCCATTTGCAATGGCTGTAGCTTTTTCAGATTCTGGCTGTCAGAAATGAAGAAATGTAACACATACTGACAAGTTCAACAGCCGTCCAAGCTCAAACAACGGGCTACAAGAGGATGCATATGTTAGTTCCCAATCTGAACCGTGGGGAAGATAACACATAAGTGTAATCGCAGCGAGGAGATCGTCTAGTCCCAGAGCTTTGACCATAAATGCTCTTACAGCCAACTGTGCAAAGACAAGCACGCTGGACATTGTCATCGCGGTAATATAGACCGGACGCAGCACGTAGGCGCGTGAATCCGGCGGCGGTATCCAACCAGAACTACTCAGCCTGGGAGATGTTATATTGATTATGCCTGATTTAGTTACCTAGCCAGAGCCTCGAGGCCGTAGGGGTGAAATGTCGGTATGGTACACGCTCAATGTTGACCTTTTGCCGTGCTCGTTCGACCGACAGAGTAGAAGAGGTTTTTCATGGAAGTTATTAAAGCCAAAACAGCAATAAGCCCCAGATAGACATATGGTGAATTAACTTAATCCCAATTCAAGCATTTTGGATGGGAACTGCCTTTAAGGCTGAGGACGTTGGAATATGTTGACGATGTACCATTTCTCTAGCACCACTTGTTGACAAAGCAGTCAAAAGAATAAATAGCTCTTCATTCACAGCCCAATTCAGCAGGTCCAATGCTTTGCAAGAGAGTCTCTCAATTTGAGAGTTATGGCAACAGTTGATTGGATACCAAGACACTAATATCGCTGCTCAACACCTGGAATATTATCTATCCGTGTTACGCGTTGATCCTTCTAAGAGCCATCAAGAATCGGTAGTTCTCGTAGAGAATACTGCTAAATAGCAAGCAGCTGGTTTCCTTCTCAAAATGGGCGCGTCAATTAATTTCAACGCATGACTATCTACCTACACAAAAGGAAGGACAAGGTGGCTTTGGTACTCTGACCCCAAATGTAGTATGTGCTTCCCCCTGTTATTGGTATGATCTTTCCCAAAGTTGCTAATTGATCGATTTCGGCCGCTGATAACGACCCTGAGGCTCTCACCAGTTTCATATTCAATTCCAAATGCCCAAATACCAATATCTAACCTCACTATGGTCCCTGGCTCGATTTTTTCCTCCTTATTGTGTGGATGGAAAGGCCAGTGTGGATGCATACTTTTGTTCTCGTCGATAGCTCGGTGAGATGCGCGTAGGATGCCCGAGGGACCCTTGTAGGCAATAACCTCTGTTTCTTCGTCGGGTTTAATATCCTCAAAGGAGTTGGCTGGTATACCGCCCCAGGGAATATTGAGGTTTTTCATCAGTTTCCTGCCCCTGTCTAACTTTTCGATTGTCACATAAACGTCGAGATCATCGTGGTCTGAACAGGACATGTACAGAACGGCTTTAGGAATACCAATGAGTTGTGTCGTCTCTTGAAACGTATACGTGAATTCAAGTCTCTCATCAGACTGGGAATCATAGCTTAAGCTTGAATTTGATTCCAACGGCTGGTCCAGGGCGATCTTGTTGTTGGGGGCCAGAAAGGCTTTCCTGTATTGCGCTCTTGGGAGTGGAAAATCGTCCTCGACTATGTTTTCATATGACTGCGGTTCTTTGCTCCCAAAGCGGAGGACTGCCATCCTCACACGGGGTTTCTTAGGCCAATCGTTTTCCTCGCCCTTCAAGAAGTGATCAAAGAATGATTGTAGCTCTTCTTTGGCCTCTTGGTTCCCCCAAAGGTCATACCATTCTTGCCATGGATGCCACCGAAGCCACTTGTCTTGCGACGGGATCTCGAGCCAAGCCCTGATAGCTCCCATTCCGTGCATCGTGTTTGTCCATGTACCAGTAATGTATGTAGGAATCTGGATCTTCTTCATATCCGGCCGCTTATCGTTCCACCATGCATTTGCAAGGGGGTGTTGCTCGAACATTTTTCGGAAGCTTTCTACTCCATTGCGGCCTTGAAGCATATATTTGACGATGAGATTGTCAAAGAGATCTCCAGCGTAGATCCCCCCTCGAGCAAATTGCTCACGGTAAAGGTCGCCGCAGCCCTCCCATGGAGCTATGGCCTTGAGGCTCGGCGGCTGAAGGGCTGCAATAAACCACTGCGCGATTGCTAAATGCGAGTTTCCTGCAAGCCCCACACGTTCATTGCACCAAGAGAGCTTGGCTATGTGTTCGATCGCGTCGTATCCATCCTCGGCCTCTTGTTGGCCCATGATGACCATTGTCCCTTCGCTGTCGCCAGACCCACGACTGTCAATGTTGATGATCGCGTATCCTGCTGGGACCCAGTCTGCTGGATCAGGAGCCTCGAACTTTTCAAGTCCAGACAGAGTTCCCGATGGGATGCCAAGGTTCCAGGGCGTCATCAACCCCAGTGATTTGATGCCGTTGAACTTCTTCCCGAAGGGGGACCAACAAAGGATTGCTGGCACATTTTCGCCACCGGTAGGGCGAAGGATGTCGGCATAGAGTGTAATGCCATCCCGCATCGGGATTGCCACATCATGCTCAACAAGGATTTCCGACGTGATTGGCTTTGCATCAGCATGTTCAGGGTGTCGCCAGCCGCGAGGTAAGATCTCCGTACGAGGGTTGAAACCACTGTAGCCACCAACCCCAATCTTAGGGGCATTTATCGACTCAATTGGAATTTGGGGTGACATGATTTCACGATTTGTGAATGGAGATGTTTCGTGATAGTGTAAGGAAGTCTCCTTTGGGTAGGCAACGATGAAAAACTGCTCCTAGTCAGACCAACGTCTAATTCAAGCCGAGCTCAAGCTCATACAAATATTCGTTCGGAAAACCCATGAATCCAACCTATCAGTATAGCTCTCGGTTCGTAACGGTTTGTAAGTGATACTACTCGCAGATCCCCCACTGTGGGTATGGCAACATGAGGAGTTCCCGAACCGAAGCGAACCGACCCCAAATTCCGTACCGATATGTTAGTGCTTCACACTTCCCGGAATGATCATCGTCTCCCTGGAGAGTCAACTAGAAATATGAACAAACGATTATCAAGCAATTTTGAAAATTACAATTGCAAGCTCAAAGACAGCTGCAGCTTCTATCGGACAATCTACTTCATTTTCATCATCACTACCTCAACACAGAAGACTCGGATCGCTGGGTCAACGCTACGCTCTATTTTACTTCATTTTACCTACATCGAGACAATGTCCACTCAAACCATTACATTTACTCAAGTGGCAACAAATGGCCATGCAAAGCAGTCCATCACCCCGAATCCTGCTGGAGAGAACAGGTTGTTTGCCAAGGAGGGTGTCACATATGGGGATTGGCGCGATGACCTTGTCCGCGACGGTGTCGCCGTGGTAAAGGGTGCCATCCCCCGTGACCGGGCTGACAAGTATGCTGAAGACATTTTGACTTTCCTTGAAACATTGTAAGTTAGTATAACCCCTTTCATTAGTACATTGGCTAACAATCCAACAGCAAAGGCGGGCTAGGTTTCAAACGAGACGATCCTTCGACTGTCAAAGAGGATAATTTGCCCATCATCAACGAGAAGGGAATGTGCTTGGGATATGGAGTAGCTCACGAAGACTTCGCTTGGAACGTCCGCCAAGAACCCGGAGTCATCGGCGCCTTCGAAAAGGTCTACGACACAGAAGATCTTATTGTGTCCTTTGATGGGGTCAATATCAGCTTCCCAAACCGTGCTGACCTGCCTGACAACAAGCCTTGGCCACACCAAGATCAGGATCCCCAGAGACCCGGCTTCCGATGTCTCCAGGGACTTGTCAACCTTCTCCCGAATGGGCCGAATGACGGCGGCCTAATCGTCTGCAAGGGTGCTTACCGACTCAGCGAAGAGTTCCACGAGGAATTCAAGGACGAGCCGGATAAGATCTGGGCCTGGACCAAGGAATGGTACGGCTTCACGGAGAGGGGTATGAAATGGCTCGAGAACAAGGGCTGCAAGTGGGAGAAGCTCAACGCAGAGCCGGGCGACCTTCTCGTCTGGGACAGCCGCTGCCCGCACTATAACCTCAGCCCAACCGGCGACGCGCCTCGATTTTGCATTTATACCTGCTACATGCCCGCGACAGATGCCAGCGAGGAGGAGCTGGAGCGAAAGAAGAATGCTTTCTATGAGACTAAGAGCACCACGCATTGGCCCAATGCCTTGAATGTTGGCGGAGTTCCAATCAAGCGAGGCGGCAAGGATTGCCCATACAACGACTGGAAGCCTAGGAAGCCTGTTGAGCTTTCTGAGAGGGGATTCAAATTAACCGGCATTCCCTACATCAAGGCTGTCTCTGCTTAACTCGAGATATATTGATAGCTGTTTTTCAATGAGATGATGAGCTTTTAAGCAACATTTAACCACTTCTTGCTTCATAGAGAATTCGTGAGACAAGTGGAGGCAAATAAATCCGACCCATGGCATATATCATCTCTGGTTTTAGTAAATCTTGTACAAAATCTTGGTAGAATCAACGAAACGGATTAATAATCATGCACACGCTGACCTTCGCGGCGCTTTAGAAAGGTCTGCTCAGCCACTGAAGACTGCCCGGATGTTAGAATGAATTATAGATTCATACTCACCATATGGGATATGCTCCTCAATATTCCTTCAAACTGATACTTGCTTCCCTGACACTGCAACTATGGAAGATACGCATTCCCCGCCAAGTAAACACTCTTTTACCTCTACTCTTTAGGAAACAATTTCTTCCCAGCCTTCACCTTCCTCATCGATAGCTAATTTAGTTAGACTCCATAATGAACAAATGGAACCCACAGCAGTGGAGAGTCTCCCTCCACGGGTATCATGTCTCTTGACTTGAGTGACACTTTCTGAGCCCTTCCAGGGCCCCTGTGTTTGTCTCCCCTATGCTCAGTGTTGGCCAAGATCCAATGATCTCGTAGATGCCGGATTGTCCGGTGGAGTCCCTCGCTGACCGATCTACTGCGCATTTGATTATGGGCAATCCATTTGTATGTCTCGGTCGCCACATCCATGCAGATTCTGTCATCTACCGTCCACAGAGTGCCAATAACATTCTGGAATCCACCAGCCTGAAATGCGCTGATGAGATGGAGGCCTTCGTTAACTAACTCATCTTTCCCAATCTGGCCAGTTCCACAAGCAGAAAGATATGCTAGAAACGGAGGGTGGCTGGCCAAATTTGATTTGAGTATGTCGTCAAGGGTAAGTGAATCACCCTCCAAGACTAAATGGCTTTTCAATGGATCCAAGCTATTCATACGCCCGTGACCAGCAAAGTGGAAAATGGTACAATTGTCCATTGCTGATTGAATATCTTTTCGGCGGGGCATGGGCTTCATAATTTCCAGCTTCATCGAGCTACATATATCCTCCACGTTTTCTATCTCCTCGGTTACATAGAAAAGGTCCTTTGTGCCCACAATGACAGCCTTGCCGGTCTCCTGGGGCTTGTCTAGCTGGTCGCAGCTCTGTTGGCCGTAGATGAGCATAGCAACAGAGGGACCGTAAGATGATATCACTCGATCCAAGACTGTCTGTGCCGAGTTCTGTTTATGATATCCTGCTGCATGGATTGGAAACTTGCTGAGAGGTCCAGTGAGAACCCACCATATGCGAGGCATATCATCATCCTGAGGTTTCTGGCAAAACCCCAGTTTATTTAGAACATGTACTGCGATTGTGTCCCAAAGCCACTCAAGTACATCGCTGTCTAGATGTTCAAGTTTCGTTGTTTGTTCATTGATGTCGAGAAGTCGTAGCTGGGGTAACGGTAAGGTATACATTTTCGCTTGGTCAATGATGAATGCATCGCATCGATAGATGCTCGTATTGACAATCACGACTGGCCCGCGCTGTGCAAAAGCGTGCATATCACTTTTTGAGTGGGGCCTCAAAAAGTGATCGAATCCCTTCAGTTTTCTGATATTCCTGATGGATTGCTCGAATTTGTCGCTTATCTCGTGGCGTTGATCAATATTCTCTAGTGATGACTGGTGTAGTTCATAGAGTTGGTCTCGAAGAGTCACAAACTCTTGAGCTAATGAAGGGCAATCTTCACGGAGAGCTGAAAGATCTAGTCTTCTTGCATTGAGGGCGTTCATTATAACGCCACGTCCGATCTCAAGGAGTTCAATCGCCTCATATACATTTTCTTCTGTCATAACTGCCATAGCAGCAGCATCCGAAGCCAAGGATTCCGCTTCTGCCAGAAAGTGCTGCTTGTCGTGGTTTTCGAGAGCATGGTGCGCTAGAAAAGAGAGAAGATGGGTCGTCTTGCAAGCAGCTTGATATGCGGATGTCCACTCCCCGTTTTCTGCATGAGCGAAGAGTAGAATTTCTCCAGCAAGTTGCCTGTCGCTTACGGATGCTCTATCGCTGTCCAAAACTATTCGAAAGTTATTAATTGCTGCCTCGCGGTCCGCTTCCTCGCCCGTATGGAGATAATATCGTAACCACAACGCGTATCCGGGGTCTGTTGCTTTGCTGATCATGTTTGCATGGGGATATTGACTTGAGTGATGGGACATCTGTTCCCAGAATTTAATAGCCGCATTGAGATCCTCCAAAGATTCTGTTACTTGATATTTACGGAAGCAACATTCGTAAAGTGCATAAAGTGTATTTGCCACGCTCCGCTGATCGTGGGACTGATTTGCGAGTGAAGCTTGAAGGTATTGAATGGCGGCATCGAAGTCTGCATCACTTTTGCTGATCACATACTTCTCTGTGTATATATACCCCAGTTTTCGAAGTCCGAATTCTCTCAGAGGGTCGTCAATTGGCGTTGAATCCAGTGCTTGATGATTTAACTGCATTGCTGTTTCTAAATCAATTATTCTTTCGTTTCTCTTATGCCGAAGTAAATAAAGATCTGCATGGGAGTAGAGAAGCATTGGGGGCCCTTCATGGCCCTCTTGTGTCAAAGAAAGACCATCTATAGAATATTGAATGGCTCTATTGAGGTCATCAAGTTCGTTTGTTCTACGATACCGATACCTATAATTTGCAGAAATTGACTCGTAATGACTGCTCTTTTTGGCAACCTCCTTAGGACAAATGTTAATAATAGCTTCATCGAGTAGCTGAGTTGCGAAATCAAGAGTGGAGAGAGCACCAGTTTGAAAGTAACAGTATTCGTATCGAGAAGCAAGCCCTGCAAGGTAATTGGGACGATATGGGTTACCAGATGGGATTGCATCGAGGATTCTCCTACAATGCTGGATAAGCATGTCGAGATCAGCTTTCTCTCCACTTCGCGTGTGTCTCAATTCATACGCAAGGGCGAGTGTTTCCAGGCACTCTAACATCTCCCTTGGATTGCCAATTAAAACCTCGTTGACATAGTTATGAAGCTTTTGGATACCTGTATCAAGGTACGGAAGATGCTCTGTCATTCGATACAGAGCAGTAAACTCTGTTCCGATGACTTTGCAAAGACTTTGACGGTCTTCACGGTGACATGATTCCACCTCAAAGGCACATTCAAAATACTGTATGGATGCCATCAGGTCGTCTGCGGAAAATGTTTCATCGCTCTTTTGCCGAAAACAAAGCCCTAGGTATTTGAGAAGCTCGAAGCGCTCGTGAGAATTTTCCGGGACCAGGACGAGAGCCTGTCGATAACAATGAACCGCCGGCTCGATATCAAATAAGGAGTGCGATATTAAGAACCTCGAATGGTAACTAATCCCCAGTTTGCGAAGCCGCCAAACCTTGTCGCTGTTGTCCTCTGGAGTTGAATTGACTGCCATTTCGCCGTATGTTATTGATACATCGAGGTAGTCTTCTTCGTTCGTTTCTTCATATCGTTTTCGAGATATAGATGAAAGGTGCTCAAATATACCCGGCACCAACAATATATCATTGGGGTTCAAGTCAATAGCAGAGTTGTAATGGCGAACCGCTTCCTCAAAATCTGAGAGGGATTTTGTTTTTTCATATCGGTATCCATACTCAGTACCAAGGAGTTTTAGGTCAACTTGTCTAAGTAGTTTTAGGTCAACTTGTCTACCAAAACCGACGGCTGGAGTAAGAGCGATCAAGTGCTTATGAGATTCGATTACCATATCAAGATCCGATAAGCTTCCTGTTGCGTCGTATTTCATACTCAGTTTATCCAACAAACTCTCAAGATAGATCTCATACTGGGGATCCCCAGGTAACGTCAACTCGAGGGCTTTTTGGCGATGCCATATGAGGGTCTCAAGGTCAACAAAGTTGTTCGTTTCAGCGTATTTCTCGCCATATTCAAGCGCCAGACTGTCGTATCGGGCCGCTTTTCCCGGATCCTCCTCTGATGTGAGATTGAGCGCTATGTAGCGAAGGACGATTCCAGTCTTTAAATCGCCGGTAGCCCGTGAGTTATCATATCTTCTTCTAAATATCGAAGCGACACGGTCGAACTTCCGTGCACTTTTAGGAGAATGAGGTACTATCGGCTTGGAGGACGACATTAATGATGTATGTATATGAGCCCGCCAGTATATATTGTTCTGTAGGCGGATGCTCTTGTAAAGCAATTTGGAGTATTCGCGGCTTCACTCTAATATGAATAATTTCCTCTCAGCATTTCAGTCGGGTTACGTGGCGTCTTTATAGAGAGAGGGGGGGGCCAGGAGTGCGCCTCACGCTGATACACAACATTTTACGCCGAGTGAAATGCGCCTTATCCTGCGGGCTTACTTGTGAGGCGGTTCAAATCGTGGCACCAAACGATTGGCCAAATCAACTGGTTTGACTAATAAGAAAAGAAATGCTGCCTTGTATGTGAGCTAGACATCAGTAATAAATCGCTTAGCTATATGCCTGCTAAGCATTTAAATACCGCCGATTTCCCTATAACAACTCGACCCAAAATTTCTCAGCAATCAACCCCGTCCAGTATATAGAACTCCCTTGAGGTTCTGGTGGGCCACCCTAGAGACTCATATTTTGATCCGTTTATAAACGCGGCGAAGGATGAACTGATCTACAAGAATTCACAGCAATATCTAATTCTCAACTTACCCATCCTACAACCCATGAATCTGTTCCACCTCTAAGACCAGATCATCAAGAAGGCTACTCCGATGGACAATCCTTCAGATTTACTAAACAGCCTTCTAGCCAACTCCGGTAAATCCTGACAACTGGGCGGCATTGACTTTGAGACACTCAAACATTAAGCGGCTTATTGTCAAGTCGGCGGCCAGTATTATCAGATTATTGAGTGATTATAATACATACATAAAAGGCAATATAGTAGATATTGTTGCTTTAATTGAATTGATATTACTGCATGTTTCTATTGACTGTAGAAGGTGGTCTGTTCATAGTCGCTCCTCCGTTAAATGTCTCATTTCTCCAGTCACCCACTTGCCTGGCTCCTCGCGCTCCCCCATTTTGCATATAGTATAGGAGCAAATCAAGCTCTAGCAGGGAACTGAGCTCGTGGGTAGTAGAACGTACCACAGCAAAATACTGGACGATCGTGAAACCAACCGGCAACTGACTGGGCCTGGCGGGGCTCTTTAAGAAAATTTATACTTAGGAGGCAAGTTCGAAAGCTGTTCTTCAGGCGCTTTAATACGCGATAAACGATCCTTTGGGTATTTATTCAGATATTAAAATTAAGAAGGTCAAAGGAGAAAGCGTGGTTGATTTGATTTCCGATCCCATCTCCTAACGGTCAGAGTCCGCTCTACTCACGTTCGGGCGGTAGAAACATAACATCTCTTCTCACAAACTCTTGTCGACTGCCCAAAACGTCCTCAACGCCCACCTGCGGAACCTCGGACCAAGAAAGTACATTGGAATTGTGATGGCACCCAAGACACCGCAAATAATGGCCAGAATGTTCATGGCTCCATCATACCCGGTTGCATCAATCAAGGGGACGGTGGAGTAGCTCAGCCCGAAGCTGATGAATCCGCGGCCGACGCAAATGACCATCAGAAGAGCCCCGCCCTGCTTGGGGAAGCTGTCGATGGAATATGTGATTGCCACAAGGTTGGCACTCATGAAGGCGAACAAACCAATATGGTAAGGAGCCGCAATCGCCATCCAGTGCCATTTCTCTGGGTGGGCGCCGGCTTGCCCATATATGACGCATGCCAGGATAACAGCAATTATTGGAAGTGCGAGAGAGATGAATCTATCCTCGGGCTGTCGCTATAATATTAGTCGCCGAATATTTCTCAAAGGTAATGGCTTGCCTACGTACCACAAACATCCCTTTCCTCCAGGCACTGAGACGCTTAACTAGTAAGTCAGACCCGTATCCCACAATGGGGATCAAAAGAACACAGTCCAAGACTTGAACAAGTTGGACCCATCCTAGCCATGCAGACTTGAAGTTGTAAGGTTCGGCCATTAGGATGACTGCGAACGTCGACGCATGGTAGACGTAGACACCGAGGCAAGCGCCATTTAACAACAAAAGCCACATGATTGACGGGATACAAAATCCCTGGGCGGTTTGCTTGTAAAATATGAGAACTTCACTCCAGTTCGCTTTGTAATGAAACATCTTCAAGTCGTGTTTCCATGTTCGAGGGCCGTATATTTCAGGTCGCACCCGGTGAGATTCGCGTGTCGTCGGCTTCTGATCGGGATCACTTTCGGCTAAGACGCAAGTCACATTAATATGATGCACCAGGGTACATGTAGTGTAGAGAGACGATAATTAAAGTAAACCAATACTTACCCAGGGGGTCATCAGCTCTATTGTACATTGTCTCCGTAACGAAGAAAAACGATAAAGCCAAGATCCCGAAAGAGATAAAGGTTATGATCAAATACCACCACTTGAGACCAAACTGCGGAACAATGTAAGTTGTTGCAACAAACATACCCGCAGTTCCTGCTGCCTGGACTCCGATATACCAAGCAATCTTGGTACTCCTTTCATGCAGGAAGTGAATCTCCTCAACAATGAAAGGAGCAAGGGCTTCACTCTGCCCGGCCGCCATGCTTAGGAAGTTACGCCCGGCAATGTGGCTAGTCAAGGAGGTCGAAAACGCGCACCAGAGACCAGTCACGGCGAGCATCAGTAAGGAAATCAAGAAGATGGGCCGTCTCCCGAGTGCCAGTGTCAGGGGCATGGATACAAGGTTTCCAATTCCCATGAATAGAGTAGGGTATATCAACAGATCGGTCGCTCTTGTAGCCTGGTCGGGGTAGTCTTTGACGACGTATGGGAAAACGGCACCGAGGCCAGATGTCGCAAGGACCGAGATGGCGCTGTACAGGCCGACAAGTAATATTATAACGCCTTTGTGCCATGTCGGGAGATTCAACGGGTCTCATCTTGGAATCAGTGGATGGCCCAACGAGTGACAGCGAAAAAGAGGGCAAGAATACCTTTGGGATCTTGACTTGGGCGAGGGATCAAAATAACAGAATCATTTTGGATGAGTTTGATGAAGCCTTCGCTAGGTTGAGGTTGGCGGTGCGTATCGGCATCAAACTCCAAAGTTGTCTCGATCGTTTCAACGTTGGGATCATCTTCAGATTTCCGGGAGCCCATCTTGAAGGATAATTGGAGAAGAATCGGTGGTGTGACTGTAGTTTGCACAAGAAAGGAGTTCACGATCTACTGCTTGAAGAGTTGAAGTCGAGGGAGGCGAGTTCCCTTATGAGAACACAGAAGCGAAATCTCGGCTCGGTAACTCAACTGGATCTCATTGACTTCCAAGTTTGGATACCCCATGGGGAACTCACCTCCTCCTCCACATCCCGTAGCCCCCCTTTTTAACAGGGATATTGCCACTCCCCGCACAACCCAGACTTAGCGAACCGTCGGTTCTGTCCAAGGATAGATCTCATATTTCAAAGAAATACCGAAAGCTCGGGATCTCATCCTAGGTGATCAATCCAGGTTCACTTGCAAGTCCATCGCCATGCCACCAGCGAAATCCCACACAGACCCGCCACGGAGCAAGAAGCGCCGGATCAACTTCGCGTGCAACTATTGCCGAGCCAGGAAAACCCGATGCGACGAGCGGAAACCGTCTTGCGATGCCTGCCGGGCCGCCGGAGTGCCTTGCATCACCACTGATAAGCGAAGGCCAGGCAAGTCAGTAGACCGGCATGAGGCAGGACGACAGCGCCGCTCTATCCCTTCAGTATTAGATGATGCTTCAGTCGCTTCTCCAGTCAATCAATTGATACCGGAAGATGATGCTGGCGAGCAACTTACGAGCCATTCCCATCTTAGTTTCTCAACTACCCTAGAGCTTCCAGAGATCGGGTATGAAGATGATCTTGAAAGCCAGCATCGAACCCCCAATCACGGCGATGGAGATGAGGTTGAAGATTCTCTAAATCAATCATCACCTTCCCGGTTTCAGGGTAGATTGCCTTTGGTAAGAAATACCATCGGGAACTCGTCTGTAGAGATGGCTAGTGATTGGTTAGATCTGGCCATATTCCGGCTGGGTCTCCGGCAGGGTCCTACCAAGTCCTTGGAACATCGCAAAGCAGACATAATGAGTTTTTCTGATGCAAGCCTGATTAGCCAATGGGAACTCCCCAATCAGGTATCTGCACACGAACTCTTAGAGTGCTTCTTCCAAGGTCCCAACCTAATCTTCCCTTTGCTTGAGTGGAAGGAGTGCACGGCCGGTCTGGAGGCATGTCTCGAGTCAAGCTTCTTCGAAATTGGTCAAAGGAATGGACCGTCACAGATTTTGCAGATTTTGGCCGTCCTCGTCTTGGGTTACATCTCAGGCCCTCACCAAATTTCCGGCTTTGATGCCAGATGTTACCTCAATCGCTGTAGAACAATGCTCGGGCACGTCATGAGATACCCTAGCATTGAAACTCTGAAGAGCCTCATATTATTTTCCCTGGCATTGAAATCCAGTAACGAGCTGCTAGAGGCATGGCACATGGTCAACTTTGCCGCATCGATTGCAACATCATTGGGGCTGAACCAGCAAACGACCCGTTCCCAAGAGCGAACATCTCTTGAATACTCCATGGCTCAGGAAAAGAGAAAGCTCTGGGTCTATATATACACAATTGAAAAACTGCTTGCCTTTGAACTCGGGCGTCACTCAAGTCTTCGGGATATTTCAGAGGCCGAACTACCTGATACGCTCGGCTGCAAAGAGCTTTTTGAGCTGGCGAGGTTGCTGAGTGATGCAGGCAAACGGTCTGTCCGTGCGAGCAGACAAGAAGAAGAAACAGATCAAGACGACGAGCTCTATCGATCAATATGCGAAAAGGTGGAAATTACGGGAGAGAGCTGTATTAAGCTTATACAGTGGGCTGAGTCAATGCCCGCCGAGTTGAGGTAAGACGGAATGATGGTTGACATCTACAGTTGACTGATACGACATCAAATAGGCCAACCTCGGACTCGATTTATAATTCTAGACTTCACCCGGTTGCCTCCTATATCTCGATGCAATATCACTCCGCGTAGGTGACAATCTACTGCGAATTTCATATTTCAAAGACGCTGTCTAACAATGCCCCAAGAATAATGATTCTATCTCGCAACAGCTTACTCATTAGTAAAGAAGCCCTCCAGTCGGCAGTGAGCGTAATAGCCAAAGACAAGCCATGGTACTCGGTGATACGAAATGGCCAGTCCATGGTGGCTGATGCCGCGAGGAAGACTCTCCGGCTCGTTATTGAAGGTGTAGACTCCGATTTCAACGCCGCTCTGTCATCACTTACTGCGCCCCTCAACTCCCTGGCGACGCTGGTAGTTTCAATAATCACCCGGCCACGGTCACACGTGGCGGGAATGGATCTGGGTTTGATTGAAACTGCGGCCAGTGCATTGAGGGAGCTGCATTACTGGAGTTTCAGGGGCAACGATGATCTGGGATCGTTACTTGACCGGCTTGTTAGGCTTTCAAGTGATTCAATCAAGGCGGCAAGGCATTCTAGAGCAACAGCTTCGTCAATAGGTGCGAGCGAAGGCCGGCTTCCATCGTTTGGCAGCCGACACGAGCCGCGATCAGATGGACCCGACCAGGCGGTTGGTATGAGCTGGCCAGTGACAGCATCTTCATGCGATTCTCAGGACGAACCGCAAGCAGGCGGCCTCTTCACCGGCGGGTCCCAACTCGGGATGTTAAACGACGATGTGATGTGGTTCGACAATTGGACTTCGAATTTTCCCGACGAGATCAGCTGGGACTGGTCGAATTTTCCACAGATATTCCAGTCCCGGGCTCAATCACACAGCATAGGAGAACCTTGAACTTATTTCGGCGTATCAAAACCAAAGCAAGTCCTCTCAAGGGGTCTAGACTCCAAACTGGACATAGGGCTTTGGCCAGTTGCATGATGCATATACTTTACAGGTCCGCTCCCTAGCAACTTATATTTGGAACAAATGGAATTTCCTTGCCCTTAATGGCCAATTTAGTCTACCAGATACCAGTAACCTTAGCATCTTGCGCTCGGCTGATCATTTCCATCATTTGTGGTGTTGGTTGACATCTGTGAGGCAGCATGCATATACCGGGTTAAGTACCCCGCTACGTAAATATTCATGCCACTTCCGGCTTGTCAATCGAAACCGTCTCCCTTGATCCTACAACACCCAATTCCGCTGCGCACCTCACCAAGCCGACACCACCTTGCTTCATTCCTCCATCCCACCCCCCGTGAAGCCGAGCTATCGAGATGTCCGACAGTGCCGCCGACGCCGAGCCTCAGGCCAAGAGGAAATGCCTCGGGGCAGACTGCAGCAACGACGCTGGGACTTTGCAGTGCCCCACGTGCCTGAAGCTGGGCAACAAGGACAGCTTCTTCTGCTCCCAAGACTGCTTCAAGAGGAATTGGGTTGGTTTGTCTGCTTCCTGATGATTGCCCCTCCTTTCACGGTTCCTTCTGGGCTGCTCAGCTAATCCTGCTGTCGCGCAGAACGACCACAAGCCGAGGCATAAATCCGGCCAAGATGACAAGAAGCCAAGTAGCACTCCCAGCAACGCCTCCTCGATCCAACCTCCGATTCCTTGTCTCTAACCTCTGTCTCTGTGTATAGCCAGTCGATTCTACAATCCATTCCCAAACTACCCCTACACCGGCTCCGTCCGTGCCGTGTACCCCCTCTCGGCCATGCGAACCGTCCCCAAATCGATCCGACGTCCAGATTATGCCGACACTGGGATTTCCAATGCCGAGCGACGGCTGAACCGAACCAAGATCGATATACTCGACGCAAAGGCGCAAGAGGCCATGCGTAAAGTGTGCCGGTTGGCTCGAGAAGTGCTGGACATCACCGCAGCAGCTCTGAAGCCTGGCGTCACCACTGATTACCTGGACGAAGTCTGCCACAAGGCTTGCATAGAGCGCAAGGTAGGATCCAATATGCCCCGGCCAAACAGGCTATTCACGATCCATGGCTAACTATGGTAAACCAACAGTCGTACCCTTCGCCACTCAACTACAACCACTTCCCCAAGTCGCTCTGCACCTCACCCAACGAGATTGTCTGCCACGGAATCCCCGACCAACGGATCCTCCTCGACGGCGACATCCTGAACCTCGACATCTCCATCTACCACGAAGGCTACCACGCCGACCTCAACGAGACCTACTACGTCGGCGACCGAGCCAAGGCCAACCCCGACAACGTGAGGATCATCGAGACGACCCGCGAGTGCCTGGACGAGGCCATCAAGCTCGTGAAGCCGGGCACCCCGTTCCGCGAGTTCGGCAACGCCATCGAGAAGCACGCCAAGTCGCGGGACTGCCACATCGTCGCGACCTGGGGCGGGCACGGCATCAACACCAACTTCCACCCGCCTCCGTGGATCCCCCACTACGGCAAGAACAAGGCGGTTGGCACGTGCAAGCCCGGGATGACGTTCACGATCGAGCCTATCCTCGCTCTGGGGAAGCCCAAGGAGGTGTACTGGCCCGACAACTGGACGAATGCGACCGTTGATGGGTCGCGGACTGCTCAGTTTGGTATGTGTTCCCTGCTCCCATTGATGCGTGCTATACTCATGTTGATACAGAGCACACCCTGCTCGTTACCGAGACTGGCGTCGAGGTTCTGACGGCGCGAAGGGAAGATTCTCCGGGAGGACCCATCCCGATGCCGGACACGGCGAGCAGCAACGATAAGACGAGCACATGAGTGGGTGGTATATGATGCATTGTGGATAGGCATAGCGTGTGTGGTTTTTGTTAACGGCTTGACGCATAGTTAGATGATGATGAATCCTTTATGGAGAATCTCCTCGGCTCGGTGTTCGGGTGTTCACTTGCCGTGACATTGGGCTATCATTCCCCCACACATAGGCAATGACAGCTTACTGGATGCTGGCAAGTAAAGGAAGGTAAGTAGAAATTATTGGCAAGTCATGATGCATTGTAGACGTGTTCTGGATCTAGGGATGTCTGCCCTCTGGTCTCAGGCGGAGGAGGCAGGCCATGAACAGACCCAGATGCCTCCCTCGACTGGGGTTTCAACTTGAGACCCGGCACATGCATTTAAGGTTTAAGCAATCATGTTTTACACATGTGGATCTCTGATCTCATCGTACCACATGCTTGATTGAGCCGAGCCGAGTTTGTGATGAATCGCCGTTACCCCAATCCCAACCCAAGCTGCACTCTTGCTTGCTCCTTTGCTTCTATCAGGACCAGGCTGATCCAATTGCCCGGCCCATCCACCAGTCATCTACTGCAGAGAGAGCACTGATAAATAAACTCTTCCCTGGGACTAGTGGGCAATGATCAAGCTTTGGCTCCAGGACCAAGCCCGTGTGCCATCCCAAATCCGGCTCCCACCACAGAGTCATACCAATATAGCGCATCGAAAGTATGAACCATGTACGTTTCTGTTCATAGCCGCTACAACGAACATCCACTAGAGCGTCCCGGCAATGGGCTCAAAATCTGCCATGCCTATTCAGCCATAATGAAGTCACCCGTGATGTAAGCTCCCATGATCCCTCTTCCGGCGGACTCTCCCAGAGGCATTCAAATAGACTTTTCTCCAATACCGATCTATAATCATGGCAATCACCCATCCATGAGATCCTAATTGCCCCTCTCACACCAGCACTGGACCAGCACTGGCACGGAGGGCTCACCATTTCATCCAATTGCCACGATCCTACCATGGGCCAGTGCTGCAGCTCACCCAGGAGCAGAGGAGAAATCCTCAGCAAGGACCCTCCCGTTGAGGCCCTGCCGCAATACCTGACTTTGCACTCATCTGTTGGGAACGACTCGCCTCTTCTGAACCTCCCAGTCGAGCTATATCTGCACGTCTCGAGCAAACTGGACCAATGCTCAGCCGCATCGCTCGCCCTGGCCAGCAGAGCCTCATATCATCTCCGCGAACCGCTAGCCCTCGCCTCGGTCAGCAGCTCCCAGCCCGCGCGGTCAGAGTTCCTCCAGCTGCTCGAGAGGGACCCCAACGTCGGCGACCGCCTCTTCTTCTGCGACATGTGCACCAAGCTGCACCCGTTCCAGGAGTACTGGGGCCCGGACAAGTCCTGGGCCGAGTTCATGAGCATCAGCCGCTTCGGCAACTACAAGCACCACACCATCGGCCTGAACCTCCTGGGCACCAGCGTCGACATCAACTGGTACCACGCGCGCCTCGCCATGAACCGCCACCTCCACGGGTCCCCCTGCGGGATAGGCATAGAGAACCTCTCGACGACCACGCGCCCGCAGATCGCGGGGAGCAGGAAGAGCGTGCACGCGACGCAGGGCCGGATCGTCGACGACAAGCTCATCGTGCGGATCCGCCACGTCCTGACGCCCGTCTGGGCCGACGTGCCCGCCGAGACGTTCAGGCAGGACGTGCTGAGCTGGACGCTGTACGTGTGCCCCCACACGGCGGTCGGGTCGTGCTTCGCCCTGCGGCCGGCGTCGCTGCCGGAGCTCGAGGCGCGGGACGAGGGCGGGATGGTGTTCAGGCCGTGCCGGGACTCGGTGTCCTCGTGCAAGCGGTGCAACTCCGACTTCAGCGTCACCATCGAGGCCGGGGACGACGTGTCGGGCCGGAGCAGCGGCGGCTACCGCATCACGGTGGTGTCTTACCACATGGTCGGGGCGTGCCGCTCGCCCTGGGACGAGGACTGTGTCAGTCTGTTTGATTGCTACAGCAGCCATCTGAGGAACCTAAACCGGCATCCTCGGGGGTCGGTGATCAAGAAGTGGTGCTCACTGCCGGAATAGATTGATGGTTGTTACTATCACACTGTAGTGATCTAGGTCGTGAGTGGAGGGATAATTCACAGTAATAGCAAGCACTCTTATTTAATGTCTAATATTCTTCTGACCGCTAAGTGTGCCAACACTCTTGATTCGAGCTCTTGATGTAATCCATTCAACTCGCCTTGACGAACTACCTAGTCAGGAGCAGACTTGAATGCAAAATTACTCGTTACCAGTAGCAAACTCCCCGTTGGCAATCTTGTCGCTCAACTTCTTATTTGCCTTGAGGTAGGTCTTCAAATCCGGCCTCGCCTCGCCCATCAAGTCGGTCACAATCCGGCCAAAGACTGTGCTTCCCGCGGCATTCAAGTGTGTCTTGTCTCCAGACTTTTTGTCGTATTTTGCAGCATCCTTCTCTCCGATTTTGTTCAGGTAGTCGGTGCTGGCACGGTTGAGGTCTAGGTATTTCGCTCCCGCTGCCTTGGCCGCCGCCTTGGCTGCGTCTGCCCAATCCTTGAGATTCTCGCTGGCCTTCCCATCATGGAACACACGACGGGCTAGAGAGGTAACAATGATCTGCGGTGGTGTCAGCTGGGGCTATGTTCGGTTAATGAGCCTGCACCTACCGCCGTTCCGCCTGCACTTTTGACCTCTTCGGCCAGCTTCTTCATATTGTTTTGGAACTGGCTGAGAGAGATACCGGCATCCGCTTTCTGGTCATTGTGTCCAAACTGAATGGTGACGATGGGGCGGTACTTGGCTTTGTTGTCCTTCACAGACTGGATGGCCTTGTCCCACCAGCCGCCAGTCTTGAAGGTGACGGTAGTTGTTCCTCCCTTGGAGCGGATCACACCATCCGCGCCGTTCTGGGCATTGCTGATGAAGCCTTCTCCCCAACCAGTTCCCTTGTTGGTAGTTGAGTCACCGGTCACAATAAAATATGCTGGCTTTTCGGCTCGGGGATCGAGAAAGGGCTGCGCGTGAGCCAGAGCGGCGACGAGGCCACAGAACAAGAAGCTGAGACGCATGATCAATGAGAGCTACTGACGCGATGTTCTTCCCGGTGGCCAGCAAAATCAAGTTCAAACTCTCAGCTTAGCATGGCTTTATATAATACTGGCCAAGGAATTACAACCGCAATTAATAAGTCTGCCCTGCCATTGCGCCTGCAGCCTGCACAGGCGGCCATACGATCAATGCGTTACATAGACGAGATTCCGCCTCTAGACACGAGGTCTCACCCAAAAGTGACAGATGCCATGAATAAGCTCCACCTTGCGCGATCGGGCGTCTCCTTCAGAGGCGAACTTATGTCAGGAAGATTCTTCCTGTCTTAGATCCCCGCTTCCGACCCGGGATATCCTAGTCAAAAGGTCTTTATTACACCACTTGAAGTCGAGCTTTTCCAGAGACTTGTGGGCCGAGATCGTATTGCCCCATGCGGACACTTCCCAACAGATCGACATGCCTTTCGTGAATGCAAGCAACAATGTAAGTGAGTGGATTTTCAAAAGTTCAGTTCCTTTTCGCTTAGCCTGTGAAGTCAGAAGTAGTCTGAAAAGTCAACAATCTTGGTAGGATTTACATCAAATATCCTGGCTTCTCGAAAATGCCGACCTATGACAAGCACTACGCAGGTTGAATGCTGAAGATCATTACCGAAGAGGTGATGTTAACATCACGAGAGATAATACAAGCCAACCTGGAAGATTGGCGAGTTTCCAGGCTGAAGTATTCTGGTTTGCGGAAATTACTAAACAATTCTCTCGAGGTAAATCAACATGGGCAGCGTCAAGCCATTTCTTCTGGTGCCCATTAATACCAAGATTTAATACAAATCAAGATGCATAGATTTCTCTACGCCTGTTTTCTAAAGATGCGTAGGTGTTTTGGGGACCTCCTTGGTGTTCTCACGGCGACTCTGCCTTCTTAGGTAGGAATAGAGAGAGTGAATACACTGAATAAGACTTAGGTATACTATACTTCTTCTCAGTGCTACGATGCAGAGGAGAGTATTGATATGAAGTATGACGCCTATCCATTCATTATTAGCCATCCATCTAGACCGCCATCCTCCTCCAGAACTTCCAACCCTTCCGGTTCTCCTGCGCTCCCACACCAACAAGCCGATCAACTCCCTGGGCCCCCTCGGCCTTCTCAAACATTTCCTGGTCAATCTCCTCGGCCGCCGTATCATCATCCTCGTTGCGGAACACGGCCGGCCAGAGAACCCCCACGCCATCAGCGCCCAGAACTGTCTCGTACTTCTCGAACCCCTCCGCCTCGAACTTTTGCTCCAGCTCCCGGATCGTCTCCTCCTCCACATCCGGCCGAAACAGCGTGATGGCGCACCCGCCGCCTCCCGCGCCCGTCAGCTTTGTCCATCCTATCCCCGCATAGTCGACCAGCTCTCTGATCCGCTCAAGTCTAGGATGTGATACCCCGAGAGAAACAAGGAATCCGTGGTTGATACGGATCAGCGTCCCCAAGTGCTCTACCGCCGCATTGATGCTCCCATTATCACCATCAAAATCAGTCGACGAGATAAGTTCCAGGGCCGATTTGGATACTTCCCCAATACCCTCCAAGATCGGCTCAACCACCTTGGGATGGTTCCTCCTGAGCACGCCCACTTTCTCAACCTGCGTAGACGTCGAGCGCCCCTGTCGCGTGTTGACGAGCAGCAGCGGCAACTTGGGGAACCGGGGCAGCGGCGTGACCAGCGGCGACGAGCCGGCCGCGCCCTGCCTCCGGAACAGGACGGCCTTGCCACCCGCCGACACGGTGTTGTCCACGCCGCTGGGGTTGCCGTGGATGCACATCTCCCCGACGTAGGCCCAGCGGTTGACCCGCTCGATCTGGAGCTCGGCCTCCTCGGGCGGCTGGTCCGGGTGGGGGCCGGCGAGGGCGCGGATCTGGAGGAGCAGGGCGGCGCTGAGGCAGACGCAGACGCTCGCGCTGCTGCCCAGGCCGGCGCCGATGGGGATGGTGGAGCGGAGGGTGTAGATGACGGCAGGGCTGTGCGGCGAGCTGAGGGAGAGGAAGAGGTAGAGGAAGGCTTTTGCCGAACTGATGTGGATCTTGCGGTCCTGCTCTGGGAGATGCTCGGATACCTCCTCGGCATGGGGGATGATGGTGTTGAGGAGGTCGTCGTCTAGGGAAGTGACGAGGGAGTGGAAGGATTTCTTCTTCTCGGGCTGGTTGAAGGCGGCCCAGGGGAGAGCGGCAATGTCCCAGGTATGGTCGAGGCCAATGTCTCGCATGTTCAGCGTGACGGTATGACGGGACTTGGAGAGGGTGTTGACGAGGAGGTAGGACCGGAGCGAGATGGCGGCGGCGATGGCTGGCTTCCCGTAGACGGCGGCGTGTTCGCCAAAGACGATGACCTTACCGGGTGCCGACACCATGAAGGTCGGCGCCATGGGTAGCGACTGTCTTCTTTTCATGCTTACTATTCTTTTTTCCTCAAGCAGGGTCCTATATGTCCAGAGTGAGCTTAAGTCCGGCGTCTTAAACCTTGATCTCCCCTCCCAGTACTTACGGCGCTCTTTTTCCTCAAGTTCAGAGAGACAGAGATACTGGTTGAGTCTATCTCTCTCTTCCCCGGGCCCGCAAACCCCCTCCCCCTCCCTCCGCCGCCTAGATTCAGGGAGTGATCTGGATGGACAGAAGCTGTAGAAGGGACTCCATTGTTGTGGTGACTGATCCTCCCATCGTATTCGTATGCGATGTCACATTAGTCTGTCCATCTTTGTTCATAACGGGGCTTTCTCCCAAAACTAGTCCATTTCTAGCGCGTGTTCGGGATAGATGTTCGGCAGTATCTAGGAGACTAGAAGAGCCAGATGGGCGAAGCAAAGATTCGTAAGCATCATCGATTTAAGTTACCTCTCTTCCTGGCCAGAGCAAAACCTATAGTGCACAATCCAACCAGAGACTGGCCTCCTATATCGACCCCAGCCAGGTGAATGAACCGACGTTAACCAAAGAAGATGCTGTTTGGTTTTAATATTGCGTTCAATTTGAGAAGGCACATTTACTCATTACATCATGAATAATGAAATTTAATACTATACTTGCATTCAGAATATTTATTAAAAAAATACACCCTCGTCTTTAATATCCCTACAGTGAAAGATCCCTTCTCTTCGCCGCCTTCAATGAACGTTCATCTCCCACCAAGTCTGGATGGGATTCATTTCCCTGAGTCCAAATAAGAATCGTTTCCATCTAATTCGGAGTAGTGTTTATTTGCCTCTAATTGTGAGCGAAGACACTCAGATTCTTCTTTCTTCATTTCCCCCAGAATCACAGAGCGGTTGTTCTTCATTTCTAACGTCATTTCATCGTCACCACCAAAGTCACGTTGGGAAATTTTCACCAGCTCATCCATCTTTGCCAGAGCCTCCTCATACTTCGAGTTTTCGTACATCTCGAGGGCGCGGCCCGCCATGACTGCAATCTCATCCTTCGGCTGGAGGTCAAGCGCCTGGCCCTGGTCTATCACATCGTTCAGCATGTTGTAAATCTTGATTCCACCCGACCGGTTTCCAAGTATATGTCGGATAATTTCATATCTGCGGCAAATCCACGACCTGAAGTGGTTCCCAGGACATTTTCAAGAACGCACCTCGCTTCATTCAACAGAGGCAAGTGGGCGACAGAAGAAATGAGACACTGGATTGAAAGATGGTCACAACCAGAATACCTTCTATGATGTTAAAGCTAAAAGGGCAGTATTAAATAATATAAATTAATAACATTCCGTGTATTATCCCTTAGGTATTTATTATTAGCTCTAAGTGATCCGATAATACCGCTCACAGACTCGACAATAAGCAATATAGCATTTTGAGTGCCTCAAATTCAATATCACCCAGTTGAGAGGCTCTGCCTCCCTAAACTCTTCCAGTTTCATATGGAGCCCACCGAGATTCTGTTTAGCCATTCCCCGTATCGCGGGCGAGTTCCTTGGAGCACTTCCTCCGGGAGTCTTTTCGATTTCTGATGCTCGCCGAAATATAGGCTAATCTTTCAAGAGTAGCTTCGCTTTGCAAAAAGCCGGCCTCATGCGCTCCATCCTTGTTCCGTATGGTATCATATACCAGCCGATGCATATATTCGGCCTTATCATAATGACCACCGCCTCTGTACGTCGCGGCAAGATAACTCGTCAGGTCGAGGAGTATTTGATGGTGATTTCCAAGCACTTCAAGTCCTTTCTCACGGGCTTCGGTGAGAGTCCTTTCTCCCCTTTTCAGCTCTCCAGAGTGTACGTATGCGAGACCCAGGTAGTCTGGCTCTATTATATTGTAAATTTGAGTTGAATTTTACTAACCCCTTTACTTATCTATAGCTCCGAGGTCACGAATTTGATTAACCAGATGGCTAAGAAGAAGGCGGAAGCAATCGTGGAACTAATACGTAAGGCCGAGCCCACTGCAGGAAAGCCCCAAGCTTCGTTCTGATCCTACCTTACGATCCAACCTTGTCACTATCACAGCGATCGCATGACGATGTAGCATTGAAGTGGACGCAGGCTTCCCTGCTATGTTCCCTGTCTCATTGTTGTCAATTTACCCCGCCGACACTACTAAAGAAAAGGTCTCGCGTACGTTTCAGGGGCAGTGCCGGTTCAAGCTACCCAATAGCTGCTTGTCGATTTGGCATCCCGTTGTTGAATTTGGTCTTTTTGCTTTTTAGTAAAGCAGCGATATCAAAGGGTTACAGTGGTATGAGGAGTAGCTATGGGTGGGTGGTATTAGATTCGTCATTTCATGGGGGCAAACAGGGAGAGTGTTGTTGTATGGGGATATATATATCCTGTAACCCCCCTAGTGGTTGAGTTCTAGGACGGTCAAACGACAACAATGGCGGCCATGTCGTATTTACCCCTCTGGCTATCTGCAGCCGTAATTGCAGTGTCGATATATCTTGCGTTTCTTACTGTTCAATACTTCCTGTCTACTCTGCGACCGAAGGACTTCCCCCCAGGTCCACCAGCGGTGCTCGGACTGGGAAATTTGCATCAAATCCCGCTCAAGAAGCCCTATCTGAAGTTCCAGGAGTGGTCAAGGATCTACGGGGAAATAATCAGCCTCAAGGCCGGCACAGCGGATCTCATTGTCCTTCAAAGCCCGGAAGTCCTCCATGAGCTCCTCAGCAAGCGAGCGGCCTGCTACTCCGGTCGTCCGTACAGCTACATCTCGGTCGAGCACGTCTTTGGCGAGCATCGGCATAAGCATATCCTCAATGTCCAGAACGATTCTTACCTGCGGCGCTGGCGCACAGCGGCCGCGTATCTCGTGGGCAAGAACAGCTTGCAGGACATGATGCCCATGCAGGAAGCCACCTCGACAACGCTGTCGAGGAATCTGCTGAAGAGCACACTCTCGGAAACTCTGAGGGAGTTGAAGAAATGGGCACTGGCCACTCCGCTGCTGGCTGTCTGTGGGCAGCGCCTGGAGAAGCGAGACCCAGATTTTGCCGATCGGTTTTTCAGCATCCAGAAGGTCTGGCTCGAGCTCCTGGAGCCAGGTAAGGCACCTCCCGTTGATGCATTTCCTTTTCTGCGCTGGGTGCCAGAGAGGTTCGCTTTGTGGAAGAGCAACGCACGAATGGTGCGCGAGTTCATGCTTGAGTCGTACTTCAGCTATCTAGAGACCACACTCGAGTCCAGAAATGAAGCCAAAAAGAAGGCTGGCGGGTCCCAACGCAGATTTAAATCCGTCCTTTCCAGGATAATGGAAGATGAGGAAGCGGAGAGAGAGAAACAAAATGCAAAGGCCACATTTTCTCATGATGAGCTTGCATATGTTGGTGGGGGCCTCATTGATGCAGCAGTCGACACAACATGGGCGACGTTGTCCAGCTTCGTGCTGTACATGGCTGCCTGTCCAGATGCCCAGGCCAAAGCACATGATGAGATCAGCCGTGTGAGTCCCGACAAACCGCCAGCAGGTGATGTGATTGAAAGCATCCCATATATCCGAGCATGTCTTCTCGAGGTGAGTCACTTGCCATTGGTTTATCCACCTCCCCGTGTCATCAATCCACGGTGCTAAAATCTTATCAAAAGATTCTCCGGCTTTGCCCAGCAGCTCCTAATGGGATACCGCGCGTCGTCAGCCGCGAGGACAACTACAAGGGCTTCCGCATCCCCAAGGGAGCCACCGTTGTCACCAATTTCTGGGCTATGCAACGCAACCCCGACGACTACGATCGACCCGACGAGTTCCTTCCCGACAGGTATCTCAACCATCCTCTCGGCTTAAAAGTCGGAGCCCAGGAAACTGCGGCCAAGCGTGCAACGTATACATTTGGCGCGGGGCGCAGGATCTGCCCTGGGGATCAATTTGCGCAAAACTCGGTTCTTGTTGCCATGTCGAAGCTGCTCTGGGCATATAATATCGTGCCGACAGAGAAGGAGCCCCTTGACCTTGATGTTGAGACAGCCTTCCACCCAGGCCTCATCCTGGGCCCCGAGCCGTTCAAGGTTGACTTTGTGCTGCGAGATGTGGCAAGGGAGGAGGCTGTTCTTCGAGATTATGATGAGGCCCAGGCCATCCTTGGCGGGTTTGGTCTTTAACTTGAAGTGTGCGATGGGTTTGGGATCAGTCTTGGTTCAACACCTTTCTGATATATGCTACTCGGCTCACTACCATCTTTGTTTCCTGAGTGTACTAACTTGATTCCTATTACCTCCATTGTAACCAAAGCTTATGAGAAATGAGGTAATTACTACAGAGTAACGAATGAACACCAAGTCAGGCGTTGGAGAAGGGGCACTTTGGCTGCGGAAACTGCTCCTGCAAGAAACGTCGATGCCTCAGGCTTGGCCAATTCGATTCGCTCAGCCTGAGGCAGGTAGAATGAAGACAGCCCAGAGCTTCTTCCGGTGCCTCGCGCCTGCTGCCGACACTTCTCTCTCCTGATCACTCGGTAGCTTCTTCTTTCCTCCACATCTTTCTCTTTGTTTTTCCCACTCGCATCGCTCCCAACATCATTCTCTTCACAGCCGTTCAAAGAGCATATATCAACAAACATCAGAACCCATAATCAATTATCCATCACTACTTAGATATCTGATATCCTTCAACGCTCGATTCTCCCGCCCACCATGCCCTCCGCAGTACAGACACCCGGCAACCAAGCCGCCACGAACAACGGCGGAGCAAACCCCCCGTCAAACCTCCCATATGTGAAGACCTTGTCCGCAGAATTGAAGACAACCATAGACGATTCCGTCATCGCCACCTGCACCGCCCACCTAGTCGAGCGAGGCGACGACCCCTCCCGCTTCCAAGAACGAATGACGGCCGCCGCCGAGGAGCCGGCAGAGCTGGCCAAGGATCTCTTCACCCCCCACGGGCGTCTACTCCCCGAGCACCGAACCCCGCAGACTGCCATGAACGGGGTCGTGGACTGGGGCGACGCGCTCGACACCAACGACGTCCTCGTCTTCGAGCACATCAAGGTTGCCAAGGCCTTCCGGCGGAAAGGCTTGGGCAAGGACCTGGTCCAGGAGATCCTCGACAAGGTAGCGAGCGACGGGAAACCTTTTTCGGTGTTTGTGGCGCCTGGCGCTCTGGAGAGCGAGTATGGCGAGTACACGGGCGAGAAGAGGAAGGAGGTCATCAAGGAGCAGGTTGATATCTGCGTTCAGTTTTGGTGCAATCTGGGTTTCCGGAGGGTCAAGATGACAAATTGGCTGGCTCTCAAGTTCATGCCTTGTGGCAGGGCTTAGATGGAACGAGACCGTCTTTGCGAAAAACAAATTATGAGGTATGGCTGGAAGATCGCGAGGGGTGGTATAAAGTAGCTTGAGTCTGGTGCATCAAGAATTTGCTAAGGCACCCGGAATACATTAATGAAGTGAGTTACTTGCTGAATTCGAGAATTTCTCCAAAAAGATGTTTCCTGTGAAAGATGTCTGACCACTTCACCGAGATGGAGCGCCTGGAAAATGTAATACGATGGGAGTGCCGTCGCGGTAGTGCTTCAAGTAAGTAGCGGCCCCTGGAGGATTTCGTCGTCAAACATCCAGTTCATATGCTCAAGCATACTAATCGATGGATCGATGGCTCCAGTGCCAAAGTCTGTTTCAGGAATCTATAATTCATCAAGCATTTCTCGTCAGCAGCCATCTCACATCATCTTCATCCCCTCCCAGCACCCGACATCAAACTCCCAAAACGTACCGTGAAATCCCAGTCCAGTGTGAGCTGATCAGCTTGGTTCATCCGCGGAAGCGCCAGAGGCAATCGCGACGCCTCGCTCTCCGCATTTCGATCCTCCCCCTGCGCCTGCTGCACCTCGGCCGCCGCCTTCTCCAGCACCTCGAGGCACCTCGCGCTCGTGTCCAGCACCGAGTCGATGAGCGCCTGGTGCATGGCCGGGCCCGTCAGCCCCTGCAGCATGGCCTTGATCTGCGCGATGATGAGGCTGCTCACGAGCGTGCCCTTGATGTTGGTCTCGCCGTTGACGACCATCTCGAAGCCCAGGTCCTTGATCTCGTCGATGATGGGGAGCATGTCCGAGCGGATGGGGGTGGCGCCCAGGCCGTCGTCGTACTCGCGGATCTGCGCCCGGACCTCCGCGAGCAGCAGGAAGCTGGCCTGCATGGTCCCGTATATCCCGGAGCGCAGGGCTGCCAGGATCGCGAAGTCTTCCTTCTTGGAGGGGGGTGGGGAGGCGACGTGGCCTCGGATGGAGACGTGCGAGCCGGACGATGCGCGCCACACGGCGAGGCAGGTCTCGCTCACGACCTTGCGCGTGAATGCGAAGGAGGCTTCGTGGATGGAGGGGCCGTAGAAGGGCACGTGTAGCACCAGGAGGGTCTGGCGCATGGTGTTGTCGATAAATGTCAGTTGAAAGTTTGAGGGACCGGGGAGGCCCGCGGTGCCCTTTGCCTTCCACATCTGGATCTGTCTTCCGATGAGCCGGTGGGCGGCTCGCAGCTCGGCGTCCCGTTTCAGTGTCTCCTCGTAGCTATTTCGGGAACCGAGGTCGTTCAGATACCTGGCGACACCGAGCCGAGCCTCAAACGTCTGGCAGAGTGCTCTGGCGATGGACATCTGGGTAAACTCGGTGTCTGGCTTGGTCTCCGGGTCATTGATCAAGAGCTGGTCGTCGTCGAAATTCCCCGGAGGCTGCGTATCGTAGTCATCCGGCGAGACGAGAGGGGCGGCCCCGGCAAGCAGGCTCGTTTGCAGGGCCAGTTCCAAGATGGTGTTCCAGATCCTACGGCGAAGCTCGGCAGCGAAAGTCGTCCGGCGGGGGAGTCGCGTCGGATCTCGATGCAGCCCGACGTACATTGCCGTTCGCAGCAGCTCTCCCATGGGGAGCCATGTCATGCTCCACCCTTGGCCGCAGGCCTCGCGGGCGATCAAGAGGAGGATCCGGGACTGGATATCGCGGATGAATAGGCGGGCCTTGTAGTCGGGGCGGGAGTGCCACGTCTCCGCCTCGTGGATCCAGTGGACAGTCGACTTGCGCATGCTGAACTTCTCATCGTACACGGTGGCCCCGATGGCGAGAACGAGCTTTACCGTGACGATGGTTGTCATGTCCGGCTTAGGGCCAGGCGACCAGATGGCGTTGTATTCTTTCATGAAGGAAGGTATGTGTAGCACGCGGTAGACACTCTCGGAGGTCCTGATATACCCGTCGACCAGCTGGTCGCACACCTCCTTCGGGGGCAGATCGTAAGTAGGCGCTGCAGGCCACCGGGGAGCACGGTCAGCTTTGATCATCCTACCGAGTTCTTTGCACCGGGTGAGACGGTCAGATATCTTGGATGTCATATTTTGGGCTACTCGAGGCTCGAATACCTCGAAAACATCTCGGAACTAGGAGAAGAAAGTGTAAGACTACATATCTACCCTACCGACGATGATCCAGTATTGAATAAGGGGAGCACGATACATACCATGGCAAGGCAATTGGCCCAGTGGCTCTGACCAAACAGCCGCTTCTTATGCATGACACTGCGGCTGGTGAAGAGAGCCTGCCCGAATATTGCATTCTCAAATTCATAGGCGCCCGATCCTATCGGACGAAGTGCCCGTCCAGGAGCGGTGGCTTCCTGGTCCTCCTCTGGGGAGGTAGTGCTGTTATTCGTCGTGAAGACGGTAGACGAGCTGGTGCTAGTCTTGTACCTCAATTGCAACAGCTGGTCTTCCAACTGGACAATGCGCGACCGCATCGTATCAGCATCCTGCACACTTCCCGGCGAAGTCTTGGGCGCGATGCTCCTTGCATCGTTTCGCACGAGGACGGGTTCAAAGGGGAACCGGCTCTGCCCTTCCTCAGTCTCGGAATCAACAGCATCGCCATCATACAGGAGGCTCTCAGGAGGAGAGAACTTTGGGGCCAGGAAGATCTCGCCAATCTTGGCTGGACTGGTTCTGGTCTGGGTAATTGGTGCCGGTCTTGGGGCTGGGTTGGCCGACTTGTCATAGGTGCAGGTGAGTCCAGGCACCTTGGACCGGATGCAGTTGTTACATGGGAGCTCACGGTTGCAGCGAATCTTGCGCTTCCTGCAGAGTGTGCACGACCTGTAGGGAACAATTGACAAGGATCAGCTTCGGTCGGTGTTAGGTGGAAGAGCGGCATACTTACACCGGGGGCCGGCGACGTCGCTTCTCGGGCTCAACCATGGCGGGGAGGGGATAATGCAGAGGGAGAGTGTGTGAGTCAACCGGTCAGAATTTTTTGAGATTTTTTTCTCTCTCCGTCTTGTCAAGCCAGAGTGACCAGTACCATCTGGTTTTGCATGTGGCCGCAGACGACGGAATCTGTGATGTGGTCGGAGATAGCCGCAGGGCTGGAGTCGGGAAATTCAATTTTCCGACCATTCCAGACACGTGATTGGCTGAATATGCCGACTCCGACAAATCGGCATCGCGGCTCAGTCTCCATTCATCTATCTCCGGCTCCGACCTTCAACAGCCCCTGCAAGTGAGGCAAACGTTTGCTTCCACCCCTTCGAGTTATCAGATCTGTCCCCGAGTTGGGAGATAATTTCCCGGGCGTCATGTCAGTCCCTCTGATATTTAATAGCCATGGCCTGGGCTGGCCAGTCAGCTCATCATTCACTCACTACGCTCATTCACCTTTCCTACATCTTCCACAAAGCCCTTAGCTGGGATATCAGACAGAACAGAAACGATAACTACATCACGTCGCCACAATGACCAAGTCTTCGTCTGACCTGGAGAAGCAGCCAGATCTCTCGACTGACCAAACTGACCAGACTACCGACGTGGAGCCCTCCGCGGAGGCGGGTGCAGACATCTCTCCAGCCCCCGACGGCGGCCGCGTTGCTTGGCTCGTCGCAGTCGGCGCCTGCTGCACCTCCTTCGCGGGTCTTGGCTTTGCCAACTCCACCGGCATCTTCATCGAGTACTACCTCTCCCACCAACTGCAGGGCAGGACCCCCGACGATATCGCCTGGATAGGATCCCTCTCCAACTTCATCCAGTTCGCCTCCGGGTGCATCGGCGGCCCCCTCTTCGACCGCTATGGCGCCTGGGTCATCCGCCCCGCCGCCCTCCTCTACCTCCTGGCCATCATGATGACCAGCCTGTGCCACGAGTACTGGCAGTTCATGCTCGCCCAAGGCGTCCTCCTCGGCATCGGCATGGGCGGGCTCATGTTCCCCGCCCTGGCCGCCGTCTCCCAGTGGTTCGACAAGAAGCGCGCCGCCGCCCTCGGCGTCACCATCTCGGGCTCCTCCATCGGCGGCGTCGTCATCCCCATCGTCTTCTCCAAGCTGCTCAACGGCTCCTCCCTCGGCTTCGGCTGGAGCGTCCGCATCGTCGGCTTCATCATGATGCCCTTCCTGCTCTTCTCCTGCGTCTTCATCAAGGCCCGCCTGCCCCCCAAGGTCTCCAACTTCTTCGACTGGGGCGCCTTCAAGCAGACCGAGTTCTGCCTCCTCGCCTGCGCCATGTTCTTCATGATGCTCGGCGTCTTCACCCCGCTCTTCTACATCCCCACCCTCGCCGTCTCGCGCGGCATGGACGCCACCCTGGCCTCGTACCTCCTCGCCATCATCAACGCCGCCTCCATCTTCGGCCGCATCATCCCCGGCGTCCTCGCCGACAAGCTCGGTCCCAGCAACGTCTTCTCCGTGGCCGGCATCGTCACCGGCGTCATCGTGTGCTGCCTGGACAAACCTTCCGGCACGGCCGAGTTCGTCGTCTACTGCATCTTCATCGGATTCTGCTCCGGCACCGTCATCTCGGGCGGGTCGGCGGCGCTGGCGAGGACGGTGAAGAACCCCCAGCTCATGGGCACGTACCTGGGCATGGGCATGGGTCTCTCGTCCGTCGCCGTCCTGATCGGGCCCCCCATCAACGGCAGGCTCCTGGACCAGTACGGGTTCTTGTCCGTCGGGCTGTTCAGCGGCTTGGTGTGTCTTGCCGGGGGTGGCATTGCGCTTCTTAGCAAGGTGTTCTCGCCCCATGGCGTCATTAGCAAGTTCTAGATGGGGGTTTTTCGACCGATAGAAGGAGAACGAATAGAGTCCCTCGTTTACTGGGGGGGTTATGGTCTGGGCAGGTGGCTGTGCTGAGCGATAGAAGGGGTGTAACTTAATAGATCTAAATTGTATAGAACTTTCCACTCATAGTGACGTTAATAAACAAAACGCTATTTCCTTGTTGTTTACCCAGTTATCGCCATCGAGACCAGGTTTATGTTCTAGTTACTCAAGTGTCAAACTCCTTCTTCACACATATG